AGGTGCATGCTCCTACATGATCATTTAGTGACACGTCAGCAGCATCGGCGCGGATCTGGGAGCATACCTGCCAAGTTTGATCCAGACGGCGCTGGATTTGGCCCTGGACGGCAAGATCTGGCGTGTCACTCTGGCTATAGCGATTGATCTCGTGATGAAGCCCGATCATTTCGAAGTAGACATGCAACGTGGCTGCCTCATCGACTTCATGGAATGATGCTTCTGAGCTTGGAGATAACGGATTCTGAGCATTGTTCCACATAAAGGCTGTGCGTGACAGGCGCCAGATCTTACGTAGCTGGTCTGGATAGGCGCTCATGTATGAGGCCAACAGGCCCCCGCATCCGAAGAAGCTGCAGAATCCATCTCTGTCGTAGAGGTAGACGAGGACGCGGGATAGCAGGACTTTGTATGGCACCGCGTTTGTGCTGGGCTCTGGTAGCGAGTATATCTCGTCACTGGTACAGGCCTGAAGTAGATCAAATTCTCGAATGTATGCAAGTACAGTAGCGCTTAAAGCCCGGAGCTTCGATGGTGAAATCCGTTCTCGTCGCATCCAAAACATAAAGATATACAGAAATGAAAGCAGCAGCTCTAGATGATCGGTGGGTGCGACGGGGTTACGTGCCTGGATAAGTAGCTCAGACCCACGCTGCAAATGAAGACATGACTCCGGTGTCGGACGGGCTCCGTAACCAAAATGAATCGCGAGCTCGCTGTGAGAGAGGGCGAGTAGAAAATGAAAGGCCATTTTTTTATCCCACGCGTGATCGAGGAATAGCGAATGTGCTGATAAGAAGGGTGGACGAGAAGATTTCAAGGATGCGAAGACACTTCGATGAAAGGATACAGCCTCTGTGTCGCTGCTGCCGATAGACGGGCCAGTAAAAGGGTCGGCCAGAAGGAGAGGTGTGGCTGCGATTAGCCAGCTGGGCACGCTTGAGCTTGATGATTCGATAGAAGACAGGCCGTGTCGGGAAGATATCGATAACGGTGAGTCTGGCCCGCAACTGTCCAGTGAATCAAATTGCAAGTCACTGATAGCTTGAGGAAATGGGTAGATAGAAAGTCTCTCCTGATTCTGACTGCTGCCCACGAAGGAGTCTGATGCATATATTGAGGATCCAATTGCCGATGCTGTCGAAGCTAGTGAATCTGTATTGATGACTGGTGATGACGAAGGGGTTTCTTGGGATGATGCAGATGCCGAACTCGGGTGTTCCATCGATAATTGCTTACGAGCCTCAGTGATTCTTTGATTTGATTCATTGCTCTGTCGCGGTTGAATCGAAGAAGGCGTCCAGCAACCACTGTCGCGATGTTTGATCGGACCCAGCCCCCTCCTTCTCGCTGCCAGGGGCTGCTTTCCCCGTCCCCATTCGCATGTCAGACCAAGTCGAACGCACCGTGTGCAGTGCGGATGTTGTTCATCGCACTTGACGCGTTTGGCAAGACAAGTCTGACATCCTAATATGCGATTGTCCGCGTGAGTCCTGCATTGTGCCGCGCGAGGTTGAAGCCAACTCACCATTGCGTGACCGGCCTCTCTCTACTCGTGGGCGACGCTGCCGTGCAGGCTCAACAGACTGCTCCATGGCGCACGTTGGCCTGAAAAAATGCGATAAGGTACGATGGCTGTCGATAATTTGAAGTGAGGAGAAGGAGGGCGTCTCTCTCGGCTCAGTGCTGAGTTGATGAATCCATGATGCCCGGCCCACTATCGTGCTCGATTAATCTGGCCAATCATCGCTCTTGCCTTCATCACTCCTAGAACGGGCTAGCGTTGAGTATGTTCTGCCACCGCCTTTCCTACACAGTGTATTTGCGGCCTCAGGCATTGCTGCAAAGGAGTGTTTGCTGCGAAAGAAATGGCTAACAGAGAGCTGCTTTCCAGTCTCGCTATCATTTTAACCAGAAAGTGCGGAGTCTAGGTACATCATCAGATAGGCAAGATAGCGATTAAACCTCGGGATGGTCCGGTTCCGACCTCCTGAACCGGAACATGTCCGTGCCTTTCTGCCCACCCACCGCTTTCGCTTAAATAATGGATATGTGTCTCAAGCCCAACCTTTATTACCAGAAACAAACCAACGATCCGGCAGACTATTCTCTGTTCGCACCTGCAGGTCCCTGACGTGCACAAATTCGCCATAATTTTACCTGTTATGGGTGCATGAATTGCTGTATTGCTGTTATTTACACCTGTTCTGGTCTTGACCCCTACAAGTCTTCTATGGGAGTTGCCTCTGCATGAAATAGCATACAATTGTCTCGTACTGTATATGATTTATTTCGGCCAGGAATATCACTTTGTCTCGAGATGCCATTATGGATTTATTCTCCGTAGGCAGGGAGGTACTGTACTATAGAGCGTGGAGTGGATGGAGGTGTGTTTTCTACATCAATGCGCTCCAGGCCGTATCATGGAAAGGCCACATAGAGATGGTGAGGATACTGCTGAACAAAGGTGCCGAAGTCAACACTCGATACTGCATCCATTTGGGGGCATCAAAGATATTGCAGATGCTCCAGGACCAGGGCGCCAACATCAACGCCCAGAGTAGATTTTATGGCAAAGCACTTCTGACCGCAGCAGGGGTCTAAAGACCCTCCCAAACAATGTACAGGATGCAGAGGGGAGCCATTTTCGGCGTCGTTTGGGTCAGTGGAAACAGGGGGAACAATCGTTGAAGTCAAGCGTCAATAATAGCAGAACAAGGATGACTAACAGCGCTCGTTGGTTGCAGAATAGGGGGCAGTACAATGGAGCGGGCGGTCAAGCAACGGCTCGCCGTCCGAAGTTACGGATGGAAAGAGGCTGTCATTTTCGGTGTCGATTTCACAGGTCCCTATATTCTAGCTGTAATCCTTTCCGGGGCTCCCTTCTTGCCTACCCCACAACTTCTGCTTGATCTTCGGTCCCGTCTTCTGTTTGAACTGCATCAGTCAGGCCCTCCTTTCCGAAAACATACAAAAACCTCTTAGGGCTGGCACTAGGGTGTGGCGCGATGCTCTGGCATTGAGGGTCAAGATGTCGTCATGGCTGGTTTATGGTGGGGTCGCGTGGTGATGTCTGGTCTCAGCGGAGGACTTGACATTACAGTCGACTGCTCATCGTTCCTGGCAATACCCTCGTCTTTGACTATTTTATAATAACAAGAATTCTCTGGGACTGGGCGAATTCTGAATAGCTTCACTTTCGCCTCAATAAGACCTTACTTTTCACTCAAACTTTATATGGGATTCCATACAAATTTCAAGTAAGGGATGAAGTAAAAGTAAAAGGAAAGTAAAAGATAAATAAAATCAATTTCTTGAATAGGAAACTGATTGGACTGATGAAACTAAATGAATTGAACTGAAAACTGCTTGCTCAACTGATTGAAAAAACAATAGGAATTGACCTCTTATTTATAGCTGGGTAGCTATATCAGTTCTCTGAGGTTTTCCGCGATCATATGAAAAACACATGAAGAACACATGAAAGTGAAAAAAATCAATAAATTCCTATTGAACAGGAACAATAGGATGAATAGAAGTGGATTGTTCCAGGCCGTTTTCCCCGCTGAGGGGTCCGGAACTCGGAAATCCACTCCGCGAACTGGTTAACCTGAGGCAGCGAACTGGCGAGCCTGAGGTGACGGACTGGCGAGCCTGAGGTGACGGACTGGCGAGCCTGAGGTGACGAATTGGCGAGCCTGAGGCAGTGAACTGGCTATATTGTTGACATATAATATCAATCAAAATGTTCGATAATCTCACTAATTGACTTACTTGAAGCCCGTGAAGGATTCGTATCTTTGTATTCATCCTCCTCACGGTCAGTTGACATGGTGGTTTGGTCGTGCGGCATCCGACGAAGCAACTCGGCATCGGCGGCGTTCTTACGTCCTTGTTTCTATCTTCTTGCGTACATGACGAGTATTTTTTTCTCACTTAAGCCAGAGGCTACTCCTCTCAATTATTTTGTTATTGCCGAAGACTTCGTGCCCGGCGGGTAACTTGTAGTATGGCGGGCCGATACGAAGAACTTTGGCCTTGTCTTTGTCAATCTTATCGACCTGCTCACGCTTCATCTTTCGTGCCTTAAGCGGACGCCCATTGGGCTTATCAATAACGCATCCGGACCAAACCTTTTAGCCTCGCGGCGTTGGGGAAAAGGTTCATTCAGTGGCTTTAGCTCTTGCTTCCGTAACGGGTAGGGGTGATTTCGAAGGATCCTTTCGTATGTCTAGATTGAGATACAGAAAAGTTCGTTGGTTGGCTGAATGTTTGGCTGGTGGTAGCTGCCTGATGCTACTCCAGTCGGAAGACACGCAATAACATTGTGCAAGATTTATTGCTTTATATCGAAAGGTTAAGATGTTTCATTGTGGTATGGGTTTTGGTTCACGCCGTTCATGCGGGGCACCAAACTCTAGGGTTGGGCGAGGCTTTTATCAATTGAGGTAAGCAGGTTCTCTGCCAAGAGAGAGTGTGGAAATGAGGGAGAAGAGGGAAATAAGAAGAAGAAAGGAAGGGAAGGAAAGGAAAAAACAACACAGACCCGACCAAGGAGTTGATTGTACAGAAAGCCGCCTGGCCATATTTATAGCTCCAGATTGCCTTCCACAAAGGCTATTATAATTGAGCGGTGAATGTGTGGAAAGCCAGCAGGTCATAACTGAGGTGAACGGTGAAATTCAATAGGGTAGCAAAAGCTACTTGTGCTGTGAATTATCCTACGTTTATGACTTGGAGTAAAGTATATGGAGTGTCTTGATCTACTATCTTTTGCATAGCTATGAGTGGGCAAAGTAGTTCGCAAGCAGAAATTCTGACAGCCAATGTTATGCGTTGTGCTTCGAGCACAGATGAATGTGGGGGTATATGTACAAAGTACAATGAGATAGCAAAGACGAAGTTGATAAGCATGAAGCTTATCTCTCGATCATATCGAATTACTCAATGTCTTCTGTCCAGGGATGTACCTGACAGGCACTGCTTCCGAATGGAAAATCATGCTGAGGCGTGTCCACGGCCGGATGAAGCTTGGTCAGGGTCAAAAGACAGCATGCCGTCCACCCGCGCCCGAGCCCACTTTTCAGTGGAGCCAATGCAACAAGCGCCCCGTGAAGCTGATCCTTCGCGTGGGGGCCAGAGGTGCCGGCTCGGCCAATTCGATTGTTGGATCAAAAGCCATAGTGGATCCTCCACTGGCGATCATGGTAGTTCTGCGGGCTGGGATTGTGTTTGAGAGTGATGCGCGGTCGGCGGCATTGACCCTTCATAATGTGCCATTGGCAGAGTCTGATGGGGAGGAAAAGGGGTGGAGCTGTAGGGTGCGTGGTGAGGATAATGTTGGTATGGACCAGAGCCAGGGTTGTTGTTCATCCGAGGGTCGTATGCATAATGTGGTTGCTGGTGCTGTTGGCGGTGGTGGTCAGGGCAACGATGGTGACATTGGCATTGATTCGCCTGGGTTTGTTGCTTCTTTTCTTGAAAATCGTTCGCGGCTCTAAGGTCAATTAGCATTCTATCCTATTAGAGGGTCGAGTTGGCTGAAGTGTACGGCACGTACTTTGAGGAGACTTTGAGGAGGCCGTAAGCTCCGGCGAGCTGGATTCCAGTCTTGATCAGACCCATTTTGATTGACAGCAGATACAGCTGGAGTTATTGAGAGAAAGGAAAGACAATTGATTTCATGTTTGAACCGACCGATAGTATTGACTGCAGCTTTATACTGCCCTCTCTGTGACGATCACCTCTGAGCGCTAAGTCTTGTCTGGCACACCGCGGGGCAACCCACTCCAGACCACGCTAACCCTAAGTTGACGAACAAACCGAACCCGTGTCAACTGCGCCACAATAACAGACGACAATCAGGTTGAGGTTAAGCATCAGAACAATCCGTGCGCAGGGTAGGGTAGACTGACTAGACTAGGGCGACAATCTTCGTCAAGCAACCCCTGACCGGCTGGCACCAACTCTTGCCGTTTTTGCAGCATCAGCCCAAACCCGTCTTGCCCAGACTCATCGATGAATGTCCTCGCCCTACTATGCCTCCAAAACTCAACCACCGTAAATCTGTTCGAGGCTGTCGTAACTGCAAAAGACGTAAGGTGAAGGTCTGTACTGCCCTGCGACCCACTCTACCCAGCCCAATTATCCCCTTAGAAGCTAATCCAATACATCCACAGTGCGACGAAAAGCAACCAGAATGTAGCGCCTGTATCCGCCACTTCGTGGTCTGCGAATATCCCGACCTCCAAACCATAATCCACAGCTATAAGCCCCCAAGACAGCAAAGACAGTCATCATCGCGACCAGCCCCGCTAAGACGGACCCTCCCCTCCCCCGAAAGAGCCAACCTCAACCCCACCGACCTCCAACTAATACACCACTACGTCACCGCCACCGCCCACACGATGGGCCACGCGCAGCTGCCCCCCGTCCTAGCCATTTGGCAGCTAGCCGTCCCCGAGATGGCCTTCGAGTACCCGCCGCTGCTGCACACCATCCTCGCCGTCGCGGCCACCCACCGCGCCGCTTTACTTCCCGACACCGCCGATGTTGCCACGAAGCGCCTCCGCGCCGCGCACCACCTCCACATCGACCGGGCCCTAAAGCACCACCGGGCGGAGACAGCCCGAGTCAATCGTCCGGGCACGGTAGTCTCCGAAGCGTTATGCATGAACACGATCCTGATCTGCCTGTACGCGCTGACGCTCCGCGGAGGCAGAGCCGATAGTGAAACTACTAATTCATGCACCACCTACGAGCCCCCGCTGTTATGGCTGCACATGTCGCGGGGCATCCGGCTAATGATCGGACGGGCGTACCACGGTCTTGTCGGGGCCAAGGCGCGAATCGCGCCGTTGTTGATGGCCAAGCCCTTGGTGCACCGGGGCGCGGCTACGGCTGCCATCACCTCCCGAGTCGTCGTCGCGATCACCGTCCCCGCATCCACGAGCCACACGAGCAACGACAACAACAATGCCAATAATATGTCCAATGGCAGCAGCAGCGGCAGCAGCGGACTTCGACCCCTCTACTTTCTCCTGGACTGCAACCCTGACGAGGAAGGCGAAACGGCGGAGATCCGCGCCGTCTACGACGAATGCGTCAAATACCTCGAGGGAATGTACGTCGCCGTTGTGGACCGCGGGGAGGCGGGCTTCGATCTACGGAAGCGCTTCTCCTCGTTTGGGCCGATGACCCCCGCCCCGTTTGTTGGGCTCGTGGCGGACCGCAGGCCTCGCGCGTTGGTCATTCTTGCGTATCTTTTTGCGTTGGCGAAGGGGGCAGAGGAGGTGTGGTGGTTGAAGGGGATTCCGGAGCGGGAGGTTAGGGGGATATATGGTGTTTTGTCGGTGAGGTGGAAGGGGGCGATGCTGTGGGCGGTGGAGTACGTTACGGGGGGTGGTTCGTGGGGTCTTGGGGAGAAGGGGGCGAAGGGGGCTGTGGTTGGGTAGGTTTTGTCTTTTTGGTAGGGCTGTAACGAAAGATGGGATTAAGGTGAGCAAGGGTATTAAGGTTTCATTAAGATATGTAAATCATACTGCTGAGGATAGATGTGATGTAGGGATGCCTGCAGCATTATATGACGGGAAGTATGGGATATTGCACAGGGGTATCATTAGGCACTTGAAGTGAACGTGGTTCAAGGCAAGGTGTCAATGCATGCAGACATCACAGCTTAAAGTGCAAGAAGCAATCCAACACCCGCCAAACCCGACAGAAGTCGGCCCGAGTTGCTCGTAGGGAGAGCGACTGCCCCCGCCTCAGACGAGGTGCTCTCAACGGAGGCTGCAGTGCCCGTGGCGGTAGGCTGGCTGCCCCCTTCGGTGAGGGTCACGGTCCCAGAGACCATAACCGTGGGCCCGGACACAGCACCCGTCCCGGTGGGTTCCACCCCGTTGCCCGTTGCCGACGAAACAGCGGACGGCATGAGCGTAGCTCCCGGCACGGCGTTGGTCCCCGTTCCGATCTCCAGGATATCATCCTTGCCGGGCGAGAAGTTAGTGTTAGCCACCGAGATCTCATTGTTGGCAAGGTCATAGACCACGTAGGCGCTACGGAGGAAGGTGTCGCCCAGAAGATTCATGCCAGCCTGACTGGGCACAATTCCTAGGATACAGTCCCCCTGCGCAAAGTCGGGCTCAGTATAGGGCAGCACCAACTGGCTGATGGGGACGGTGACGGTGGCACCGGAGAAGCCGAAGGTCACGTTGTAGTCCTTCTCCATGGCGCTGCAGGCGATGTAAGCGGCTTGACTCTTGGTGGAGTAGCCGGCGTCGAGCTCCTTGTAGATCTCGTTGACGAGGTCCTCCGGGAGCGCAGTCATACTCGTGCCGGTGTCGAGGCTGCAGGACAGGGGCAGGCTGGTGGTGTACTTCTTGGAGCTGGAGCCACTCTTCTCCACGGACACTTCGGTCAGGGCGATGGCCAGGGACACGTACTGGCCGTCGCGAGGCACAATGGGCAGGGTTTGCAGCTCGCCGACGTACTTGGCTTTATTCACGCCGCCAAAGAGAATGGAGCCCGTCGTCGCGTCCTCGTCGTCGAGCCATACGCTGTAGGCGGGTGACTTGATGGCGCCAGTGTCGACCAACGCCTGGGGCAGATTGGAGTACACTTTACCATCGTACTCTTCTTGGTAAGTCGCGCGCGCATATCCAACGCCAGCGATACCCTCTATCAGTGGAAACCGGGCGCGTCAGTATGAAACCTTTTTTTTTCTCTAAATCCGCGCTTGCGTGCGAACAACAAAGATAGACTTACGGGCACTGCTCGACTTCTCAGCGACAGCAAACTGCATCGACTTGATTGTCGTCCCCCCAATCGTGACATTGTCGGTCGCATAGTTACCGTAAGAATTCGTCCCGTCTCCGTAAGTGTCGTTCATAAAAGTGGCGAGTTTCTTGTAACTTGACGAGGCGCCGGAGTCGTATGTCCCGTAAGGCTCGCAGGGGTTGCTCTTGGCCGAACACTCGTCCGAGTCTGGGGAATTCACCCAAGTGTCGCTGCTACCGGTGTCCAGAGACAGGACCACCTTCTGTGGAGGTGTCCCGATAGTCAGGTTGAGGGTATAGTAAGTGTCGCCCTACACGTGGCTGGTCAGTTGTCTGCACGATCTGTGTGTCTACTTCGCTGAGCGTGCGGCTGGCCAGCGTACATGATTATCAAGCGTTACGTCAACAGTAGAGTCTCTCTTCCGGCTTGGTTGAGTGAAAGGTTTCCGCTCAATGGGAATATGGACGGTAGCAGGCACATCGCGGCGGTGCAGCTGAAGCGCATCCACGTAGGGGGCGGCGGCTAGCCCGAGGACCGGGAGGAGGTAAGCACCACGCATATTGACAAGTCGCAGCAACCGCGCAAAGGGGAATATCTGACTGAGAAGAGCCCCAACGTGGTGTGAAAGACACAAAAAGAGAAGAAAGATCTCTACTTACTTTTGCAGGTGGGAGCAGGCAGCCTTTATGACCGCCATTCCACTTTAATTAAGTTCCCTCATCAAATCTCATCAGGGCTCCGGATAGCCGGTGATTCAATAGTCAACGGGCTTAGAGCCACTTTCGAGGCTCCAAGCCACCAGTCAGCTTCGTCCAGTACAGTCGGACCGCATGCCAATCCAGGCTTGTCAGGGGTGCTTAGGCCGAAAGCGTGCAAGGTCCGAGGGTCAGCAAATCACTGATCAGGGTCTTATGGCCGAACTACAAGCGAAGGAGGGTAAGCCAGCTTAGCGTGGATTCTTTCATCTCCGGCAACCACGTTATGTGGTCTGTTGGCTGTGTGGGTGTGGAGCACGTCGCTGTTAGCGTCAGGGAACCTGAAGGCGTGGGACTGTCTGTTTGGTCCGAATCTCAATAGTTCGATGTCTGCGGGGCTAATTGGATGGATGAATTCATTCCCCGTGAACTCCTGATGCACGAGGTTGAGAGGCCCGGGTCCGGGAGATGAACCTTTTGATTTGTGACGTGACCCGGAGAATAAATGCTTGTCAGATCTTGGTGGGACCGTGGCTGCTGATCTGGGGTACGACGAGCAATGCGCTGCAATCGTGATGATCCCCGTAACATTGAGAAAAACACAGATCGGCCGACAGGTACCATCATTCATCAGAGGCACGAGATTTCTCGATTGGTGGGGTCGGAGATGAGCCCGGCGGGCGGGCCCGGGATTCCCCAATTTGGCAATAGATATCAGAGTCAGGAACTAGTGGAACCAGCCACCAGAGCCCTGAATGCTTAGGCTGAGGGCCGGGAAAAGGAGAAAAAGGAAAATACAAAAAAAGATGGAGCTGCGGGGAATCGAACCCCGGACCTCTCCCATGCTAAGGGAATATTATACCACTAAACCACAGCCCCAATTGATGTTAGATGATCAATAATATGGCTACAAGATCCTACCCAGTGCATGCTCTCGCCCTCTACCTGCATTAGGGTGTGCCTTGCTACCCCCATTATAGCATTTGTAGCTACTTATTGTACCAAGTGCAAGCTTACATGATACCTCTTGGCTATGAGTAATGACTGTAAACGATCTCAGATGCTCAATGATCCCGTCATACAAGTTCGATTTTTCGTTTATATATATGGCCCCTGGTGTTGCCGCTACTATGTAAACCTGGTACACACTGTCAGTGCGGGCATAGTAAACCCAATCTAAAGGGTATTGTGGAAAGAAAAGAAACAAAAACTACCGAACATACAATGAAGTGGTTTTCGTTCCTGAGTCCTTCAGAATTGGGGGAGTTGGGATCTAATTTCCACCAACCCTCACAGTCGCGAATCCCTGACACCCACCGTCGCAGCATGGGGAATCGACGGCACGCCCCAATGCAGATTAACCTAGGTACCAAACGTCAACATTAATTTCAAATTCAATGCCCAGTATCGAGATCTCACCTCTACCACATGATCCCAGCCAAATAGTTCGGGTGCAATAGCCGGATCTCGCCAGACCAATGCTTCTCCTGGCGGTGTCGGAACCATCTGCATCTCTCTGTCACGCAACTCTTGCTCCGGTCCATCGGGCAGATGCTCGAGGTCTTTTTGCTCGTTTGATCGAGTAACAACCATCAACGTTCGCCGTTTGCGACACTTTTCAAACACCGCAAGAGCATGTCGCTTGGCGAGGAGATACTCGCGCGATGATTTGGTGGTGTGTGCATCGTTTGGTAGACGAGACAGACATTCACCGAGGACTGCACCGTCTTCGAGGGCCATGCCCGCCCTGTGTGGTCTGTCTCAGCTCGACCTTCCAGCCAAAGGATATCTGGTACCTACCCTGCTGCAAGATAGGGAAGGGTGGCGTGGACACTGTCCCCAATCATCACGCCAGCTCCGGATGGATGTGACCAGCCTCCGGTGTTGAACCGGGTACATAGTCGCCACTTGTGAACTGATTTACACAGCTTGAGCAGCTTCGCGATACTACCCCACATTCAGCAACTGCCATCATGGGTAAGTCACGGTTGATCCGACTGACCGAGGATCCCAATCTCTAAATAGCGAGCGCATTTCCTCCACATTTCCCGCCACGGTACTCGCCTTCGAATCCTCCGGGATATCATCAGGAGTAAGAAGGACGATGTTGAAGAGCTCCTTACTCAGCGGATAAGCCACTGTTCACGCAATCAATCACTATCCCAGATAATTTCCCGTCTTCCAAAATGACTTACCCACGTGCTTTTCCGGGCCATACCAGAAATTCATATTCGGGTGCGTGACAAACTCCGCCAGCTCGGGATCCTTCACGATATCCGGCGACGCCAGCATCACCCGGTAAGCCAGATCCCCCGTCTTGGTCGGTGGCGTCGGATGCTCCAGCACTTGATCGGCCAGTTTCCCGAAGATGCCATCCGCCCCGATGAACAGGTCCGCCGTCCACCGTCGGCCATCTTCGGAGGTAATCGTGGCCGTCCCTCCCTCGGCCCCATCGAACGCGACATCCACAATCTTCGCATTGCAGGTGATCTTCCCTCCCAGCTCGGTGATCCGTTCCAGCAACGTCCGCTGCAGGTAGGGTCGGTAGAAGGCCCGGAACCAGGTGCCTGGGTATGCGCTCGCGGTCTGCGCCACGTTCATGCTCGTGATCAGATTCCCTTTCCAGCCAAAGACGCGGTAGGCATTTGCCACGGCCCAGTGTTTGCTGAGCCGCTCCTCCAGGCCCCAGTGCTTCAGAACCCGCGAGCCATTGGGGAGCACCTGGATGCCGGCGCCGACATGTTTGATCTCGGAGGTGGCCTCGAGGATATGCACATTGTGGCCCGCGAGCAGGCTGCTGATGGCTGCGCCTAGGCCGGCTATGCCGGCGCCAGCAATGATGATCTGGGTTTATCATGGACTTAGTGGATATGGTTGTGTGGGGGCGCATTAGTGACTCACGTCTAATTTACACGAGCGCTCTCGTGTTCCTTGCTGCTTGATGTGATACGAGGCAGCCATGTTGGTTCGAACTAGAGGATGTACTGTTGTAGACAAGCTTCTAGGATACAGTTGGACTCGTCGAGTTCATGAAATTGCCGTTTGGTCGGGTTTGAAACCTAGTCTGCCACGACAGATTGCCGAGAGTGTGCGGCGGGGGCAGTTGCGACCCGCATCGTTCCTTATACCACCTGTGCCCCATGACATCAGATTCGATAAGGTCGGAAAGGCCCTCAGCCCAGGGATGTCTGAATTTAGAGAGTGTTCTGGAAAGCCTAGCGCCAGCCGTAGCCTCTGAGATCCGATGCGGGCGTGACATGGCAATCTGCACGGGGTAGCGTTGGCGGCAAGGGTCAAAGGCTACCACTGTACCATGCGAGAGCTGATGGGGAGCTTGAGCCCGATCTTTCTGTCTGGTTGGTTATAAATTGAATCAGCCTAGGGTCCTGCATCTGGTTGTGCTGCAAGAGCACAGTTATAGATGTTGTCTCGCGCCAGAGACATAATGCGGTGAATGAAATCGCCTGGCCCAGAACATATTATATAGATTCATTCCCCGATTATGGCTAACATTCGGGCTATATTACACTCATGACATCGAACTTCTACATCTCTATTCAGCAACTCTGAATTCCATGCCTACATATTATGTCTTGAACCTCTCACTGTACGTAACTACTGCTCTAGTGCAGTCCTTGCATCCTTGCCAAGGTGTTGGTCATGACCTGCTGAAGCACGCTCATGGAGCAGGGGGCATTACATTCCAATAGACCGCATAACCCTTGAGAGGCATTGAAAGACCTGCCGTGACCGATTGAAGCCGAGCGCGCTCTGGCCCAGGATACTTCACATTCAACAAAGAAGCCTAATCATGTACCCTTGCTAGATCTGACCCTTGATTTCCACGTTGAGTACGCGAGGGCCGTGGTTCCATACTCCTCGCCAGTATGCAATTGCATCTGGATCCGTACACGTGCCACAAGCATGCGTCCTCATCCAGTCCTACAGCGCCTCGGAAATGGGTACCTATTATCATGATATGAAGATACCAATTTGAGCGGAGAATCAATCGCTACGCTAACCCATACTATTGTACAGAGGACTACAACAAACATACAACCCCCACAAAGTCAACATACACTCACTCGCGTTCAACCTTCCAATCCTGCAAGAACCGCCATCGGGCCGTCTCCTTCCACCCGGCCGCCATCCACCCATTGGCAGTCGCAGGGAAGGTCTCCACCACCCCCTCCAAGCTCGTATCGTGCGCACACACCACAAAGACATGGGTCGCGCCGTCGAACTCAGCCAACGAGCCCACACTCCGCTCCGCTTCCTCTGGATCCACCGCTACGCTCCTCCCGTTGGGGAAGATGTGAACGTGGTAGAAAGCAGAGGTCTGGTACTTCTCGGGGGAGGGGTGGATCGCCGCGAAGATCTCCCTGGGGCAGGGCACCGAGACACCGGTGTAGGGGCTCGGCGTGATCTGGTCGGGCAGGGGGACATGCTCTGAGGGGCGGAGTTGGCCCGCGTGGTGGATTGTGTCTGCGCCCATGAGGATGAATGTGTCCGAGCTGATTGCTTCGCTGTCATTGCCATTGCCATTGCTGCTGGTGGTGCGGGCTAGACCGCAGACATGCCCGACCGCGTGGCCTGGCACATCGAGGAGGTAAAACGAGCCGTCCCCGAAGTAGTCGTGGGCTCGGAACCCGCCGATCTGGAGGGTGAACTGCTCCGCGGGGATTTCCACCAGTGCGCGCCCGGCGACATCCGACTCCAGCAATTCACTCGCTGGGTTGGACGGGTAGGCCGGCAGCGAGGCAGCGGATACACCTGGTCCGACTACCAGCGAGGCTGTGGACGGGAAGGTGGAGGCGTCGCCGACGTGGTCGAAGTGCGTATGACTTTGTTTGAGGCTCATAGTCAGCGATTGCTTCCTTTTCTGGGGATTCGAGCTCGGATTTACCTCCAGATTATCGCGTCAATGGTTTCCAATGCGATGCCATGGTCGCTCAGAATCTCGGCCACGTCTTTCTCAATGGTGATGCTGAACATGGCCTTCAGGCGATCGTACAAGGGTTTGGCCAGGTTCTCCCAGTCCTTGCGGATGCCCAGGTCGAAGAGAACCCGTTTGTTCTGGGACTTGTTCTCGACCAGGAATGCATACGCGCCGGCGTTGAGGTCCGTGAAGCCGCCAACTTCTGGTGTGAGAAAGATCCCAGGAGGACCATGAATCCTGGCGGTTGAGTCGATGATGCTCACTTCGACGGTGTTGCCTGAGGCAGGGATGTTGAGGTCTATTTGAGGCATATTGTGACTGGATGGTGTAGTGATTTGTGTCAATTGATTTCGTTGTTCTGCCTGATATAGTGGCAGGCTGCATGTTCCATCTTATACATTTCGCAAGCACCGCGTACTTCCTTCCAGAGATACCTACTCAGTGTTCGTCAATGAGCTGAACAAGGAAGCTATGGGGATTGGTCAGCACCGGAATATGTCGGGAGACGGAAGATACTTTACCTATCCTCGTGATGCCTCAGCCTAATAGCCATCGATCGATGGGGCCGATGGCGCGCGGGTGAGCGAAAGAAGATCAATGATACGAGGAATCATAGATAGACCCCAGTTGCTTTGTCCGCGGATCACCGGATTATGGACCGGATAAAATGGCCCGTGAGTCAGATTTCCACCGAAGAGCCGCGATAGCGGCCAGAAATAGATCAACTGGGGTAAGCTCTGCAAACGGTGCCACGACTCCACGATCGGAGCTTGTTACTCGTAAGATCCGACACTCCCCACAGTGACTTCGAGGTTGTGGCGAAGCTTGAACTTGTGATCCAGCTTGTGACCATAGAAGTGCACAGTCCTCGTCCATGCACCTGCCGCTTACCCGTGTTCGCCTACTTTCCCCCTCTAAATATGTATGCCACCAATGGTCTCGACTAGCAAAGCTGTTGTTCTGCTTTATCCAATGGTTCCCACTCAACAGAACAACTGACATTACGTTTCTCCATTAATCCTGCAAATAAATAGAATATGGACAAGAAGGTAACTTAATATTGTATAGGCTATATTACCTCGAGGCTGCGACGGATATTAACGGCTCGTATTCCACACAGTTGAAGAAGTGCTCAAAGGCATTGGGCTGCTTTGTACTGCACATAGAGAATGCCCTTGATAAGGCCTTTTCTCGCATGGCATGGCGCCCAGATAGGTATCTCTAGAGATTATGCTGCTTTTCCATGCTGGGTCCCAGCTACAGGGACAAGCGCAATTGAGGGTTCACCGATTCAAGAATGAAACTTTTGTTGATAGACCGAATCCAATAGGCCATAGAAGTCATTCGTTCGTCAGGGCTACATTGTGACATTGCACTAGTTCACAGCAAGTCACCGACTCCTATCATTTGCTTTTTTATTCAGCACAGGAACCATCAGGTTATTTGTCTCTTTTTGCAACCCAAAAACCAAGAAAGCGATTCTAGGGACAGGGTAAAGGTCTGTCCTAGTAGATGAGTTGCGGATAGCTAATCCGATTTTTGCTTAGGTTCTCTATTGTTCTAAGCGACAAGACCCCTCAGTTCTTGCCTGAGTCTCTAATTGTTCGTGTAATCACAAACTCTATGTACAATCTATACATTCTAACCTTCTAGGAAAACAGTCTTATTCTTTCCTCTCTCATTCCCAATCTCGTATCGACAGAAAAAAAGTGACCAACCCCAAGCTCAATCCGACGATGCACTAATAGTCCTCCGAGCCACCTGCACCTCCGGCGAAAGCCCCTTCAACACCCCCGCCAGCTCATCAGCTGCGCTTTCCAACGCTTCATCCGAGACCACCTCCCTCAAAGCATCAATGATGAACAACACCCGGGTGGTCTCATCCGTCAACGCCGTCCGCGGACCCTGCCGCCAATTCCACCGCCGACAGGTGATTCCCGTACTGTCGCACCAGATCGGCTCCCCCGGCGCCGCCAGCTCCGTCTGCGGCTCCCCGCCGGAAAAGGTCTGGAATGGCTCCGTGCCAGTCGCACGGATGAGGAATGGTGCCCCGTCGTACCTGTCGAGATCCTCGCCTCCGAAGGGTAGCTGGTGCTTGATGGAGATGGCGTTGTAGATGTCCGTCAGACGGTTGACCCGGGGCAGACCCGCCTCGACCCGCCGGGTCAGCGCTTCCAGACTGTTTCGGGTCTTCTGGGGTTTGGCGCCGAAGGCCTTGTAGGTGTCGCGCCAGGCGGCAATGTGCGGAAGCTCGGTTACGGGCTTGTTGGCTAAGAGTTCCTTGACATGTGTTTCGGCTTCTTGGAGGATGGTCTCGCTGGTTTGGTCGCTGGGGCCCTGGGGGATGTTCTCGACCACCATCAGGAGGGCGCGGTAGTCCGGCCGGAGCTGGAAGATGGCCGGGTCGACGCGCGCGGATTTGAGTAAGGTTTGGGCGGTGTGTATGGTGCTCATTGTGAGAAAGTGTCAAGATTGAGAAGACTTGAAAATATGTGTCCTCGGATGCAGAGAAGATTGAAGTGCAAAGGGGGGGCTTTGATGCCCTATAAATACTGAGATATATACAAAATAGTGGCGAAACGCCAAGACCGGGGGAAGAATCTTGGTCGCCCCACTACCCTTAACTTCTCTTTCGGGAAGGCCCCCGATTGCCCCCCAGCCTCGGGTCCGGTAAGATCTCCACGGTAGAGCCGGCCGCGGATGTCATCGGACAAAGCACTGCCGGCTTTTACTTCTCGGACCCAATCATCCTGGCAGCTCAAGTGAAATCTCAGCCTGCGCTATAAGCTCATGCGCTTTTACCACCCCTTGGTTGCCTTCCAATTCATACTTCCTCTGTGCTCCATTGGCCCCATCCAGCTCCGAGGTTGCAAAAACTCGCGCACGGGCCGGTTTCTCCGTCCGCACTTTTGCTGCTCCTCTTCTTCCTAGCTCTATAGAGCAGGTACAAGCCCATCAGCCCCAGAATTACAGCAGCAGTGCAGCCCACCCCGATCCCTGCTTTCAACCCCGTACTGAGACCACCCTTTGAACCCGGATCGGCCATTGCAACTGCCGTGCTGGATGCGATAGATACTACATCGGCAGAGGTAGGCGTGACCTGCATCGTCGAACTTTCGCCCATGCTTGTGACGACCATGGTGGGTGTGCTTATGGTGGCAGTGACCCGATCGAAGGTCGTACTCTCACTGGCAGTTTGATGGCTGCCCCAGGGTCAGCTTGAATGTTCCCGACAGATACATTTCATCGCCAAAGGTATAACGCAGGTACCATCCGTCGGCCATTATGAATGACCTTTGCAACGTGTAGGTGCCTGCAGTGATATTCACACCGTCAACAGTGTAGCATATCCCCTCCTCTAAGTGCGAAATCTGGAAGAACGCGATCTCCATAGGCTCCTTGATCGAGTCCGATGAGTTGTAGGTCCATGTTGTGGCGAGACCGTCGTAGACGCTGACGACGTCGCCTTTGTGGGGGTAGGTAACTTCAAATCCTAAATGGATCAAACAATTCGAGAGATCAGTCTCCGTTGTATGTGTAGTGGGTTGAGAATGATGAGTTATAAGGGGTAGGGTGGGTATGCTTGTCCCCAGTTGCTCGGAAGACGTCCGAGGCGAGGGCAAGCAGCAAGATCGAGCGCCACATTTCCATGACTGTCAGGCTCTGTCTGGAACACAATGTACGGGGCGGATTGTGAGGTTGAGGCTAAGGGAGGGGGCCCGTTGTTTAAGTTTCTGAGCTCCTAGGGTTTAGCAGGGAAGGTGCTGTGTTTACATGGAGCTAGAGATAGACTGGTGTAAAAGTCTAGGGATGTTCAATCATCGTCTGGTTTTTGAATTACTTCAGTTACATTAGCATTGTCTAGCCGTAGTTAGCATCTAGACAAATGGTAAGAAGGGGGTGGAGAACTGGTACTGAATGATGTTTAGCCATGAAACTCACTAAGAACACTTAGATTTCACCGGAAACTGAGCTAGCACGCCAATCGACTGCTCAATCGTTCCCTCACCTGGAGCTTCATTATAAAGCGTCGAAGGTGCAGTCATTGATCATTGTTCTCGAACAGCAATGCTGCGAGGCACTGCAGTGGGTTTTCTTGCTTTCACACCGGCACTGGAAGGTACTTGTAATGATATGCCACTCGATTTGAGCCGGAGGAAGGGCCCGGGGTGGCCAGGTTCAATGTAGTTCAGTCTCGTGCCTTGATGCCGGCGAGTCCGAGTGGCAACTCCAAGCAGCGACATCGACACTAATGAATCTTGACTATGCCCTCGGTACGTACCGAAGTGATCCAATGCAATGATGAGAAGTCGAGACATCACGGTTGATGCTCTTACGAATTTCCATCGTACATGAAGTACATCCTCTCCCAGAGCGAGAAATTCGGTTACTCAGAAAGTGCGAATCGACCATGGTCATCCCCAAATAGCGGCTGCATATAGCACAGCTCCGGGCACGATTGCAACTAAGGTCAATACTATCAAGACAAGGAGATCTTTCCTGAATCTTGTACTTATCAAAAGATATGTAAGAGCCAGTTATCGGATCATACATATTATCCATAGCTATACCCGCGGCGGATTGCTCTACAAGATACTAAACCTCTAACAGAGGACGCAACAAGCGTCGACTATCAGTTTGATAACAAGACTATCGACACCTAGCTTTAGATATAGACAGAAATGCGACCTCTATTGCCCCACATGACTAAGGCCAATGCTTGACAATTTCAAGAAGCGGTAGGTCATTATTGTCGCCCTGGCTGAGAATATTTAACTTTCAAAAGAAACTCTTTGAAATTTCAAAGTCTGGAAGAAAGAAGTCCTATTGATTGCAGCCCCCTGAGCATAGACTAAGGGCGAGGAGGTATCGCGATCATGAGGGTTGGTCGGATTTCAAGCCCGATCTTGAGTCCCCAAGTGGCATGCAAGGGATGACTCCTTGCACCCTTACACGTTTGGCACAACATTCCTCAATCTCTGTGGTGACAGCATCGCAATCTTTTGAGGTGGAATCGTAGCTTTTGAGAACTCTCTTTTCAAAATAACGGTCTCCCCTAGCTGAGGAGGCAAATTAACATGATGGCGCGCTCAAAAAGCCCCGAAGCGGAGGAGATTCCTCTAGACACGAGAAACGACACTGACAGTGAGGTGAACCTACAAGCTGCGGATATCGAAGACACAGTGCTCACCGGCTATAAGCTGGCGGCCGTAATAGCCGGGCTTTGTTGCTGTGTTTTGTGTATATCACTTGTCCGTCAACACCCAGTCTCCCAACACTTGTATGGGGCACCCAAACTGATGACAAAGCCGGCCATTAGGACAATACCATAGTCGCGACAGCAATTCCCAAAATCGCCGAGCACTTTCATGCATTCAATGATGCTGGCTGGTACGCGAGTGCATACCTCCTCCCCACCAGCGCCGTCACCCTCGTCTACGGCCGGATCTATACATTTTTCCCCATCAAGTGGGTGTATCTGACCGCGCTATTTCTATTCGAACTTGGATCTCTCATTTCCGGCGTCGCCCCGTCTTCGACCTGTCTCATTGTTGGACGAGCTATCTCCGGACTCGGAGGCGGTGGCCTTTTCTCCGGCTCGCTAATCATCATCTCTCAATGTGTACCGCGACACCGTCGCCCAATTTTCTCTGGGTTCATCATGGGTACCTACGGGATTGGAAGTGTTATCGCGCCTCCGTAAGTCAACAGCGCTGTCTGACTATGTGAAACCATTAGAAGCTTACCGCCTTGTTTCCAGTCTCGGTGGAGCATTCACCGATCACCTCACATGGCGGTGGTGTTTCTACATCAATCTTCCCCTGGGTGCGGTCACCGCGCTGGCAATCCTCTTCACTTTCCAAGGTACCCAACCACTGATCCAGGCGACCTGGCAAGAGAAGCTGCGGAGATTGGATCCGCTGGGAATTCTCACCTTTCTGCCTGCCATTATCTGCCTGCTGCTAGCCCTCCAATGGGGGGGCACAACGTACCCCTGGGGAAGCGGCCGCATCATCGGCCTATTCATTACCTTCGGAGTTCTTTTCCTATGCTTCATCGCCATCCAACTTTACGCGGGCGAAAAAGCGATACTCCCGCCCCGACTCCTCCGCGGACGCAGCATCTGGGGCTCGGCCCTATTCAGTTTCTGCCTGAACAGCGCGATCTTCATCTTCGTGTACTACGTAAGCACCAATCACGCCGCATCAATATACCCCAGCTAACCTCAAACTACCGCATCCCAGCTCCCAATATGGTTCCAGTCCGTCAAAGGAGCCTCAGCCACCGAGTCAGGCGTGATGAATCTTCCGCTGACCCTCTCCAACGCCCTACTGGCCATGGGCTCCGGCCTCTTGGTCACCGCCGTGCGATACTACTACAGCCCCGTGATGCTCCTGAGCGCCGGCTTGACCTGTATCAGCGCGGGGCTGCTGACGACGCTGCGCCTGGACTCTCCTGCCGCCGCGTGGGCCGGCTACCAGGTCTTCTTCGGCCTGGCGGCGGGGCTGGGCATCCAGCTGCCCGTATTCGTGGTCCAGACCACCCTTCCAACGACGGATATTCCCACCGCCACCGCGCTCATGGCCTTTGTGCAGGTGTTTGGCGGCGCGGTGTTCGTCTTCGTTGGCCAGAATGTCTTTCAGAATCAGCTTGTCGCGGCGCTGCTACACGCGGACTTGCCGGCGGAGTTGGATGTGCAGGCGGTTCTGGGGGCTGGGCCGGCTGGGCTGCGGGCGATTGCCTCTGGAGATACGCTGGTGACATTGCTGGGGGTGTATAATCTTGCAGTGGTCCGGACGTTCTATGTCGCTGTTGGATTGGCGGTGGCTTCAGTGCTGGGGGCGGCGGTTGTGGAGTGGCGGCCGATTAGCAAGGAGAGGCGGACAGCATGTACGAATCATAGTGTTCTATAACTCAACTACAGATACCACCAGCGATGTTTTTGGTAGAAGCCTGCTCGGAACGAAGGGAGCCGAATTCGCTTCAATCTACAGTATGGAATCGGATGGAGCAAAAATCAATGTGTCAGTCAAAAAACACCACGTTGATAGCAGACAGGTCAGGTAATAGTAAAGAGAACGCTTGTAACCAGCAGCACCAGCAAGGCCAATGTTGCCCCACCCATTGCTCCATCCACATCATACGCGAATCTTCCAATGCCACTTATAATCCAAACACGCCCATCGAGCTGTCAAGAAAAGGAACATCGCTAACACAAGGACGCATCCCAGCCAGACGATCACGATGCGAGATCCGACTTTCTCCAGCATTTCTCCGCCGACGGGTATGGAGATCAACACGCTAGTAGCTTGGTCAGATTCCCTGTCTTTGGATCGGCTGCGACATGAGTGAAGACTTACGCAAAGCTCACCAGTGCATAGCAGGTCCCGAAGCGCATCCCAATCTCCTTTGCCGGCGACACTTGCCGGATGCACACCGGTGCGAGGCTGAGGAAGGATCCGGAGCTGAGGTCGTACAGCGCGCTGAAGAAGTACAGCGCTGTCATCGAGTGACTGAACGGGTATAGAATGATGAAAATGGCCAGGATGCCGGACGACACCAGGACTAAGAGGGTGTTCAGCCGGCCGTACATGTCGCCCACGCGGCCGGCGAGAAGACGCCCGATGACCGAGCAGCTTGTTCCAAAAGTTAGGGTGAGTACCGGGGGTACACGTCGATGAGTACGGTTGAGGGGAGGCTGGCTTACATATTGAGGACGACGAGCAGATTGACACTTGTATTCACGCTGAATCCCAGCGCCACAACGTAGGTCGGGAAGAGGCCGAGCAGGGCGAAAGTTTCGAGTTCGAGGACTAGTTGATGAGTGAGCCAAGCATAACACACGGCAGATAAGAAACGAAAAAGGACTTACACCAGATCCCCACCGTTAGCAGCGAGAACCTCGAGTCCTTGAAGCACCTCGCATCGATGGCCGTTTTCAGCTTGTCCCCCTTGGGCAACCGCGCCTTCACCAAAAAGGACCCCATCCCGCAGGCCGCCAGAATCACAAAGGCGAGAATCCGCATCCCCCAACGGAATCCGAACCTTGCGAAGGATGCTTTCAAGAGGAAGGGGAAGACGACGCCTCCGAGACCTGCACCTACCAGCGCCGTCCCCATCGCCATCCCGATGCGCTCCTGGAACCAGTGCGGCACACAGGCCAGCGCGACCGTACTCACCAGCGCGCTCCCGATCCCCGCCATGATGCCAAAACTAAGGATGAACTGCCAGTACTGGGTACACTCCGCGGTGAGGAACAGGGCGACGACGTAGATGGTGGACCCGGCGATGACCAGGGCCTTGGGCCCGTAGGTGTCGAACAGCGGTCCAACAAAGACGCCCCCGGCAAGCATCATAAACATGTACAGGCCCGGTACCCAGCCCACGGTGCTGCTGGTGTAGCTGGCGAGCTGGTGGGTTTCGAGGTGGGATTGCAGCACACCCACCGAGTTCATGAGGCCGTAGGAGGCGAGCACAAGAAGAGAGGACCCCAACACCACGAGCCATGATCTGAGGCCGCCGTCGGGAAAGTGCTCGTTGGTGTCGGGGTGGCGCATCAAGCTAGTTCTGGAAGTATTCACAAGCTGGAGCTCGAATTCGGTGCCATTGGTATTTCGTGAGACAACAGCATTCTCAAGGTCGGTCACGTCGACGCCCGAGCGAGAGCAGATGGGTTCTTGAGGGGTCGGTGCTAGCTCCATGGGCATTTTTGGGTGAGCTCTTACGGTTAAGAGAAGCTTTTCTTTGTGTTGAGAAGCCTCTTTCCCATTGATCAGACACCTAATGAGATAAATATTCTGTTGTTCAGGCATTACGCGGGGTTCAAACTTTTATAGACTCTTTTTTTGCGGGGCTCCACTTCTTGCAATCCCGAGATCCCGATGCAGGATTAGTGGTCCTACCCAAACCATCGGATGGCCCTCCGATTGGCAAATATCGCCGCATCAATCAATTTATCAACATGCTTATCCATGTGAGTCATGGTAGATAAATTGCACATTCCTCAAGCGAATTTCCTCAGCGGGTAGCGCGTCCTTTAGTAATGCATCCCATACTACGCCATATCCTTCCCCCTCCATTCATAGATAAAGAATTTGACAATAGTAACATAATAAACTGTACAGTACATACATTTCAAGCAATAGCAAGTCCCCCAGCCCCAGCCCACGAATGCCCTAACAGCAACAACACCCATCATCATCCTTGTTATTATTACTATCCCCGCAGCATCCCCCACAGCAACCATCACAACATCCATCACAGCACCCACCGCATCCCCCACAACAATCATCGTTATCATCGCTCTTCTCCATCCTTGGCGCCTCTGGCGCTTGGTACCCGGCATACTGGGTGGTCGTCGCAACATCGTCTCCGGGGTACGTCATATCATTATTGTCCACATATCCGCGGTTGTCATCATTGTCGCGGTTGTCATCATCGCCAGACCAGTAATCCCCATCGTCTCGGACATATCGCCCGGAACTCCGATCGTCGGGGTAGTTCTCCCGTAGCTCGATCGTTTCGTTGTTTTGGGTCCATTCGTTGTAGATCACCGCGCCTCCGAGACCGGCTGCTGCTCCTGCTGCTGCGCCGGCTATGATTGGGGCTCTGCTGTGCGGGTGGCTGGTGTGCGTGGTATGGGTGGTGTGGGGGTGGTGTTGGAGGGGTGGTGCGGGGTGGTGAGCGGTAGGGTGGTGAGCGGCGGGGTGGTGCTGTGGAGCGTGGTGAGGCTGGTGAGCCACCGAATGAGGGTGCGCTGCTGCATGTGGATGCGCTGCTGCGCGTGGGTGTGCTGGGTGTGGGTGTGCTGGGTGTGGGTGTGCTGCCGGATGCTGGCGTGCGCTTGCGGCGTGGTGAGCCGGTGGATGGCCATGAGCAGTCCGCAGGCCGCGAGACTGGGCATGTTGGTGCTGGCCCTGCTTGGTATGCGCAGGTGCGGGGCGGGTCGTGCGGCCCATGGCTCCGAGAGATGGCTGTGTCAGAGAAATAAGGAGATAAGGATTTGTCGCTGCGTTGGATGCGCAGTGTGTTTTGTTCAATTCTCAGGTGATGGGCTGCACCTCAACTTGGGGGGGGGGGGGTTAGGGTTACCAGTGGTGTGCTCCGAGCGGACACTGCGTTGACCTTGGGGTCTTGATCCGTATATAACACCTCACCCCCTCTCTGCTCCTTCCCGGGGCCTTCTCTTCACCCTGGCTGAGGCTTATGAATCGTATCGCGGAGATTACGATACATTAATTGGCCTCTTAATACAAATATTGAACGCTGCCATTGCCACATCCGACGAAGTACGAACAAGAATCTCCGCCCCCATCTTGTCAAGATGGAGAAGTAGTGGCCATCGATGCAACCTCCAACAGCGGACACGAGACAAGCAACCCTGCTCGGCACAAACATGGGGTTGCAGGGTCGATTTCTGAGGTGCGGCTGAGAGACGGCCCAGTAGCTTGTGAAGTCTAAGCTCGTATCTGCATGGGCAACGGGAAGGATAGACTCTCACCTCGGATAGCAAACGCCACAAGCGCCCATCCAGGGCCAAAGCACCAACGCACGTAGGGCTTTTCTGGTGGCGATGCGTCTAGACTGATGCCAGGGACGGGATGATGGTCTGCATCTGACCATGCCAAGGCAGTTTGTAAGGCATCCGTGCAGATTGGTTAAGCAAAATTTGGAGGGGGGTGGGACGAGGTTGGATGCTTCGACGGGCGGATGCTTGATAATGGGAAGGCGCGGTATTCCGCACTGCGATGGAGGGATTGGAAATCAAGAATTGGACAGTTGGGCCAACTCGTAGCACCCTCATATCAATAAGTATAATGCAGCCGCGATCGAAGCAAACATGGAACTTCGACAGGGTTGATCTACAATTACAGTCCCTGGTGCGAATAAGTGTGCTGGTCTGTTGACATGATGGACAGAACGAGTCATGGTGGATATGAACTTTAGATCTGGGTCTGGAACAAACCCGCCAAGAAAAGCGATGTTTTCTTCCGCTGGCGGACATTTTCTTCAGGCGCTCAAGGGAGGGGGCAGAAAAACAAAGCCAAAAAAGAAAGTGGCGCTGCCCGGAATCGAACCGGGGCTGGCACGGCCACAACGTGACGTCATACCACTAGACCACAGCACCTGTTGTTGTGGTATTGGCAGCAGACTATTGATCTATGTGTAAAACTACGTATACCTCCAAATTGTGGCTTTTCGGTCTTGCCATCCAGGACAATATTGTCTATTCTTACAACACCGGAGAGAGTATTGGGCAAATACTATATTACTCCGCACATAGAAATATTCCAATAGTTTTCTCTTGGACTGAAAACTTAAGTTGGCCTTGGTTTCCTGCATTGCGTCTTCACAGACACCTCCCTGCGGCGCCCACTTCCGGTGGGATATATTTCCTTCAGCCTCCATGTCGAGGATTGGACACTGCCCCGTATAGCATGCGACATCACGGTTGCACTGACGCTTAACCACCACCGGAAACCCAATAGCATATCACGACCTCAACCCCAAAACACCAGCTCTGCTGTTGTTCCATAACATGGCCTTGAGCAGCATTTCATACTCGATCGCAAATCATGGTCACGTGACCAAAGCAGATGCCCATGGGCTCTCGGTGAACGAGACTGTGCTCAGTGGGATAGTCTATTAATCTCGGCATAGACAGCTCAAAGCTATACCGCTAACAACCATGAAACACTTCCCTGCCTGGTTGTAGCAGTGTATGTCATCATACCACACCCCGCGAAGACACCCATTCCCATAATGCCACAACCAGACAGAACACCAAATAACACACTGGGATGAGCCCATGCCACCAATACCACAAATACGCGAACCACACGACTGGAAGCCATACAACACAAGGGCTATCTGTAAAGGGCGTCGGACCCAACGTAATCGCGAGCGACAGTAAGATAACCTCTACCAATCCCGCCACAGGGAGAAGCAGAAACCCCAGGACTTGCCCGAAGCCGTAGCCGAAGCCAGGCCCGTCAAGAACTCCCACCACTGATTCCATGAAGACCGCCTCAACCAGTATTACAATGCAAGTAAAGCTGCAGTAGAGAACTGCGATGCATAGGGTTGAGTGGTGCGACTGCCAGATATCGTCTTGGAAGTAGAGGCGATTGGGGCGCGGGGGTGAATCTGGGTTTGAAGGCGTAGGTACTGGGGTCGAGGTTTGGACGGGCAGAAGCTGCAGGCTAAGATACTCCTGGCTGGTGCAACCTGCGAAGGGATGGCAGTGTGCTTGGTGTCTGTCGAGCACAGTCAGTTTGAGTCTCTGTATGATCAATGAAAATTAGGTCTGCGAGGGTATGTGCTAATACCTCTCGCAAGAAGCTTTTGGAAAGATTGGATGATTGTGAGCACAGGCCCTGCAATGAGCACCACAGCAATGACCTGACCAAATGTCCAATCATCCTCCCCACCACTCGAAAAGCCTACAGGGCACTCTGTTGCCCAGATACCGAAAAAGAGACGGAATACTCCCCAGACGAAAGCGACGAGCAACCAGATTATCTATCTCTTGTCAGTGTTCATTGGAAAGGCATTGCGGACAAGGGACCTAGACCTCCGCCAACATAGAGGTGAACCCTTCGTTGAGAAGATGAGCGGTCAGGACTAACGCTAATGTTGGAAGGTAGAACAGGGTGGACTTGAGTCGCTTGGGCGAATTCGCTGCATCAGACCAGTCATGCAAGCACTTCAAGCCGGCATGTACCCAGAGCTTGAGTCCAAATCTAAATCTTCCCAGCCAATTCACTGAGAGCGATAGCGAAAGTCGGACAGACCGAGAGACGAACGAGAAGGCGATGAGGAGCACCGCAAGGATCATCCGATATGAAGCCCTCCGTTGCTTCGGGCCTGGCTGAAAGGTAGCACGTGGCAGCGTCGTCGATCGCGGGGGGAAACCCGTCACTTACAGCATGGCTGTCGCACACTAAATCCTTATCAGAGGGATTAGGAGGCAAGGATATTCGACCATTGGTTATCCAGTAATAGGTACCAGTAAGCCCGAGGCCGATCAATAGGAACAGGCACAGTGCGCCTACGCAAAGGCCATCAGGTAATACAGCACAAGAATGACTGCCGCGAGCGCGGCAGTGATGAGGTAGCCTAGGACGACCTTGGAGCAAGTAAGCAAGGCGTTGGCTCTTCTTCTGGGAGGGTAGATTTACACCAGTTCCTGTGATGTCAGAATTCGCACCTAGCCCTGGCTTGGGCCCTTTACAGTCGCCATTCCAGGAACTGCCAATTTTTGGCCAGAAAAATGATAATAGGGATGGATTACGCTCACGCAGGCTTTAGACCATCTGGATTGTGCTGAATGAAAGACAATCCGACCATGCGATCAAGGATGATTCAGAAGAAGGCCTAGCTTTAGAGTAACTTGAAGGTTGATTAGGCAGCACTCTTCATATGGGGATCACCAGAATCTTCAGCTCAGTGGGGGGAAGAGGGCTGCTCACCTTGGCTTCGCACAGGCCGCCCGAGCAGCGCTGCAGCTGATAGGGTTGGCGCGGCCACGGCGGTTATTTCATCGGCATGCCCGACTGGTTGTCGCCAGTTGCCTTTGTTTGCTGAAGTCCGTGGGATTAAAAGCAAACATATACCTGACGTTACTCAACTATTGATCCTCCAAAAGCCTGAACATATCATGTACATCAGAGTCGTTTTACTGCTTGACATATCTACCACTGTACAATAGTGCTTTCTAGGTTGTACTTTCTGCTCAATAGTGTGTCTAGTTCTGACAGTGGCGCCAGCCATATCTATAGTTTAATGTTGTAATCGGGCGAGTTCGGTCACCGACAAGATTGAAAACCATCGAAAAACACGAATTTCACAAACTCGTGTCTTCATCGAGCGAGGCTCTGCTTTGAATGGCATGGTTGGACGACAGGAAACAGCCACCATAAGGATAGGTAGCCAAGACCGCATTGGTGGGGTGGGTATTCATTTGGCGTGGACAATACAGCCACAGCTGCAGCCGCAAGCCACCCTCAACAATATCTCAAGCTAACAAACGACACCAAGGCGAAACATCCTGTTCAAATCTCTCAGCGGATTCATCGTACCAGTCATGTTTGAGTAAGTGATGGGAATTTATGGTTCGGTCCAAAGTGGTTGATTACGGTGAGCTACTCGTGTCAATTTGCGATAACCCTAAGTCTGCCAATGATTTCCCCCGGTATTGATGATGCGGCTGAATCTAGGGTCCGATGAACCAGCTTCCATTCAACATTTCTATCCTCGCTCGTGTTTGGTGTCGACCAAAAGCTGCGCCATCAGCTTGGCTGTCATAACGTTGGTTTGAACTGTCTCTTGGCGCTGACATGAAAAAACCTCATTCTTAGCTAAATCACGGAGCTCACCATGTCGCATAGTCATCGAGAATCAACGGAGGCTAGTCTATATAAAGTCTATTCACTTTCCGTCATTGAACGGAAAAAAAAACCTGTAGAGCGACCTCAATACCAAGAACGACTTTACCTATCGATATAACTACCAGAACATAAAGATTAACGTCTTCCAACATGACCGACTGGCTCAACAATCTCTACGTGTGTCTACTTGTACCCTCCTGGGCAGACCTAGCTAATTCCGTCAGCCCGTCTACGGTGACCACGAAAACGAGAAACCCAGCAACGCCATCCCCGTCGTCGACGACAATAACGGCGACATTAACGCGGGCTTCGGCGGAAAGTAAGCCCCTCACCCCCCCAATACTCCAGTTTCTTAGGTGTGTGTGCGGTGGCTAACCGTCTTAGGTACGTCTGGCTAGTGGCCAACTACATCCAGGACCCGCAGAACTGCCTTCACAACATCAAGATAATGGTCTCGGACACGGAGAAGCCAGGCCAGATGGACCTGGCCAAAGGGGCCGGGGGACAATACCGCTACCTGGAGACCTCGACCGTGGCCGCGGAGGGCTTCGGGATTTCGAACCTGAAGCTCCTGCGAAGCACGGATGAGGTGAGCAGCACCGATCTTCGAGGGCGGGGATATCGCGGATGGACGACGGATATCAATGCAGGTCGGGGAGGGGAATATTTGTATCTGGTCTGGAGGAATGGTTGAGTACTGGTAATGGTATAGTGCTTCTAGGGCTCCGGCATAGGAATTACCATTTTTGACTTTGATTATTTGATCCCTTCAATCGTGAGTCTTGGTCATACGTTCATCTTTAAGCCGGACAGACAATTGAGTTGAACTTTGTGCTTTAGAACGGAGGTGGCTGTAGGAAGCTGGCAGATTGAGACTGAGGAAGAAGTAAAGAAATCTTCAAAGAAAATGAACAGCTCTGGCCAGAGCTAGAAAAACTGGAAATGGATTTTCTTCACATTTTGGCATTGCTATGACCAGTCCGTGGTAGGTTTGATGAGGGATGCATTTTTGGTATGGAGGTGAATGGCTCACATGTGGATTGTGCGCGGGATTAATTTGTCCCAGAAGTCTGATCCTCAATCAAGGGTAGAGATGACTGCCTTGGATCCAAGCAGTTGGAGGCATAGAGGCATAGAGGCATAGAGCCATAGGGGCATAGGAATCGGTTCAATCCCTGAAATGTGAAGCTGAGAGTGTCGGAAGGGGGCGGCAGAAACCAGGGTCGGCTCCACCCTCGGCCCGAGCTTTTGTCTTCTTTCTTTCTTTCTCCACTTTTTTCCCTTTCTTGCTTCCTGCTTTCCCCTTCTCTCCGTCTCCATCTCCTCCCCATTCCATGAACACATCATTCTTGTGGACTTGCAACAGAGAATCAATCCGCCACACTCATTGATCATGACATAGTGCTTAGGATATTCATCACAATCCCACAAGTCTCTCCTCGTCTGTCCAGTTCGAACACCCCAAAATAGCATCAGCCGCTAGTGAGGCTCGCCGTTGTTTGAGGATCCCGGATTCCCAGCAACCCCAAGTTTCGATCGTCTCATCATGAAACCCCCACCGTTCGCGCTCTGGGCCCAAGAACTCCCAAGAATTGGCTCGGATCAATTTTTTTCCCTTCACTGCTGCCCCCCCAATTGCTCAAATGCATGTGATGTGGGTGAAAAACACCTGTTCGACCCAAACAATTGACCAATCCACTAGTGCTTCGTACAATCACGAAGATCCACATTGGTCTTCGGCGGGACTGTGAAGTCCCTCACGGACACACCGCCCCCGAGAAGCCCTCCAGGAGTCCAGGAGTCCAGGTAGGGAAGAATCCCGAAGCTATCGAAGTTTCGACCAAGCATCGACCCTCTTTCGCAGCCGGCTTTAAGGTTTAGCTCAGGAGGCTCTCCGGTCGATCCACCCGGGCAGGATTCCCTTCCAGCAAACTCGGGATGCGATAGGACTGCTCCCTCAGCCTAGTCGGAAAGAAAAAACTCTGTGCTAAGCACGCCCGATGACTTTGGCTCCGAACACCCTCGAGGGATAGGGACTATCATCCCTACTCCATAGTCTAGCCAAACATGTTCTTCGGATGGAGTTTCTTCCCGAATCTACACACTAAGAATAGCCACTTGCCCAGGGTCGGCCATTAACCCCGACCTTCTCCATCACCCGCGTCTCGGGCTGCTCCAGTAACCATTGTTTGGATTTTCGCTTTCGGTACAGCGAGTGTTCTATCCACGGTTTGCTCTCTCATATCCGGGAAAGCTTCAGGCACAACTCATTTTGGCTTTAGTCAAGCTGGTGTCACTACCCTCGGCACTGTCAATCGCAATCAAGACAAACATGAGCCAACGGCAGAGACCACAACCTACTTTCAGGGCAACTGTTCGAATGATTGATGGCCTGTAGTTGCTCTTCATGTTGCGCACACGGACCATCTCGCGAGACCCATCCAGAACCAAAGCAGAACCTGGATCTCTAGCGCGTTTCAATGCGACGAATTTGGAGTCTCCCCAGCCGGTCCCCTCGCTTTTTGCTACTGTGATGGTCCATTCCCCATCGCACGATGTGCTTGTGCGACCGCTCGGCCTCAGGTCACCATCACGCAAGAGGAGTCCAGGCTACACATGGACCACATCGTGATCCCAACGGACCCCGGTCTAGTCCACCCCTGTCTGAGAACCACGGTCGAGGGTTCCCTCTAAGCCAAGATGATCAGGCACCTTACCTAGAGGGTGCTTTCCGACTGGCAAGGATAGGCTTTCTGCCGTGTTCTGGGCAAGAGAGTGAGATCCTCTTCGGGACGATCACAGACCCTCAAACACGAAGGGTTTCATGGCCGCTTCTCCAAATAGATCATCCCGAACCTCATCCGGCTGCGAAGGCTTGAGAAATTCAAGATAAAAGGCGTCTTCATCCTCGCGTTTCTGTTCTTTTTTCCATCATCATCCTTCAACCACTTCTCTCTTTCTCTTTCTTTCCTCTCTCCTAAACCTCAAAAAAACATTGCTCTGGTAGCATTTCCTTCGTTCTCACACGATTATCTAGCTATAATCGTCTTCCCTACTCTCCTCGCTTCTTTCTTTCTCACTCTTGTCCACTTGTTTCAATTTGGTAAGTATACCGCCTCTTTTGCTCTGCGATCAGTGACTGACACCAGCAGAAATCACGATGCGTGTTTCCAAGGTTTCCGCCGCGACTGTGCTCGCTTCGACCGTCTCCGTCAATGCGATCCCCATTCCCTGTCTCCTTCCCTTCCTGAGCGGCGCTGGTAGCCTCTTCGGAAGCTCGGGTCTGGGTGCCAGCTTGGGCGGCAGCGGCAGTGCTGATTTGGGCGCCAGCCTGGGTGCTGGTGCCAGCGGCAGCGGCAGCGGAAGTGCCGGTCTGGGTGCTGGGCTCGGAGGCAACGCGGCTGCCAGCCTTGGTGCGAACGCTGGTCTGGGCGCTGGTCTGGGCGCTGGCCTGAGCGGTCTCTTCGGCGGCAGTGGTAGCGGTAGTGCTAGTGCCACCGGTAGCGGCAGCGCTGATCTGGGGGCCGGAGCTGATCTGGGTGCCAACGCCGGTCTTGGTGCTGGCGCCAGCCTTGGTGCTGGTGCTGGCCTCGGCGCCGGTGCCGCTGCTACTCCTTCTGCTGGTCTGGGTGCTGGTGCTGGGCTCGGTGCTAACGCTGGACTCGGTGCTAGTGCTGGGCTCGGTGCTAGCGCTGGTCTGGGTGCTGGTGCCGATCTGGGTGCTGGTGCCTCCGGTGGTGCTTCTGGTGGTGCTTCCGGCGGTGCTTCCGGCAGCGCCGGTCTGGGTGCTGGAGCTGATCTTGGCGCGAGCGCCGGTCTGGGCGCAGGTGCTAGCCTCGGTGCTGGCGCTGGTCTCGGTGCCGGTGCCGCTGCTACTCCCTCTGCTGGCCTGGGTGCCGGTGCTGGCCTCAGTGGTAGCGCTGGTCTCAGCGGTAGTGCTGGTCTCGGTGGCAGCGCCGGCCTCGGCGCCGGTGCTGGTCTCGGTGGCTCTGGTGGTGTTTCTGGCAGCGGCAGCGGCAGCGCTGGTGCCACTCCCACTGGTGATGTTGGTGTTTCCCCTGTTGCAACTGGAGCTGCTGGTGGTAGCGGTGATGTTTCTGGTGGTGCCTCTGGCGATCTCTCTGGCAGCGGCGGTGCCTCGGGCGGTGCCTCCGGCGATGTTTCTGGCAGCGGCAGCGGCAGCGGTGACGTTTCCGGTGGTGCTTCCGGTGGTGCCTCCGGCGATCTCTCTGGCAGCGGCGGTGTCTCTGGCGGTGCCTCTGGCGGTGTCTCCGGCGGTGCTTCTGGTGATCTCTCTGGCAGCGGCGGTGTCTCTGGCGGTGCCTCTGGCGGTGTCTCCGGCGGTGCTTCTGGTGATCTCTCTGGCAGCGGCGGTGTCTCTGGCGGTGCCTCTGGCGGTGCTTCCGGCGGTGCTACCCCTACTGTTGTCGCTGGCCCCAGCGGTACTACTGTCTCGTTCGGCACTACCACCAGCGTTTCCCTTCCCGGCGGTGGTCTCACGGCTGGTGTCTCGGGCAGCGGCAGCGTCAGCGGCAGCGGCAGCGGTGATGCTGGCGTAGGTGCTGATACCGGAGCTGACACTGGTGCGGGTGCTGACACCGGGGCAGGCGCAGGTGGTGATGCAGGACTCGACGCGGGAGCTGGCGGCGACGCCAGCGCTGATGCTAACGCCAGCGCTACTGCCGATGCTTCGGCTGATGGAGATGCTGATGCCAATGCTGATGCTGACGCCACCGCTACTGGTGGCGGTTCTGCCACTGCTAACGCTAATGCGGAGGCTTCTGGCTCGGGACACGCCAGTGCTAACGCCTCTGCCAACGCCTCGGCCAGTGCTTGAGGTGAGCTTTTCTTTTTTCTTCGCATTATGGTCTAAGACTAACTTGGCAACAGTTAATTCCACACCTGTCGATGCAACAAACAACAACTACTACTCCACTCAGGATCACCGACCATGATCGTGATCCCTCTTTGGCATGAAACTCACTCCCTTTTGAAGTGTTTTGGAGGATGATGAATCAGGAAATTTTTGCTTATAGTCATTCGTTTATAATTGTGTTTCGATCATGAGACTGTCTAATACCGACATGTTATTTTAGCTAGGAAAAGCTGCTCTAATCTCTTGCTCCAGCAATGCACCACAGCTTGGAATTGTCATTCTTATATTGTTTGTTCTTTTAATTCCAGTACAAACCCCCCGAATCACCGACTGGCCCCACTGATCACAGATCCTTCCCGCAGCAAACCCCCGATTGGGGGAATTGAACAATTGGTGCTGCACGCTTAGTGCTTATGGCCGGCACATCCTTGACCCAAAGGTGAAGTCGAGACTAATGCAAGAGACGAATCATCTGTGCTGGTCTTGTTACTAAGACTGTAGTTCGAAGCAGCTGCATCCCCACCACACCAGCGGCTCCCTCCTGAGCCTCCCTCCACTTGTCGCACCACCTTGCCTGGCCCTTTCAGCATCATATAAGCTCCACAAGTTCCCCGGTCACTCAATTTACCTCCAATTTCTTTAAACATCATACACATAACCACCCAGAATGCCACCTCCAAATCTCCGACCGTGCAAAGTCCTCATCGCCGGGGGCGGCATCAGCGGGCTCACCCTGGCGCTGTCGCTAGAGAAGCACGGCATCGACTACCTGCTTCTCGAGGCATACCCGAACCTGGCCCCGCGACGCGGCGGCGGCATCGCCGTGATGCCGAACGGCGCGCGCATTCTGGACCAACTAGGCTGTTACGAGGACCTCTACCGGCGAGCAGGGGACAGTGCGGCGTCTCGGCTGTATCTCCGCGGGCCCGACGGCCAAGTCCTGGCCACCGTCGATCACATCGACACGGGCTTGATAGAGAGGTAGTCTTCCCACCTCGGGACTTTTTCAACTCAGTAAAATCCCAAACCTGCTCGAGAAACCATCTAACATGAACCCTTGAACAGACACGGCTACCCATTCATCTGGGCCGACCGCCACCACCTCCTGCGCACGCTCCACGACCACATCGCCGACAAATCCAGACTCCTCCCGAATAAACGCATCACCAGCGTGCACCATTCTCCCGGGGGTGTCGAAGTCACCGCCGCCGACGGCAGCACGTACCGAGGCGACATCCTCGTCGGCGCGGACGGAACCCACTCTACCGTACGGCGGGCGATCGTCGCGCGGGCCACCGAGTTAGGTCTGGGGAAGGAGTACTCCGAAGAAGAGCGTATGCTTTCCCCCCCATATCCTTACCCTGCATTACCCCTAAAAGCTCAGTAATAATTCTTGGGTGAAGAAATCCCCTCCACCTACGACTGCATCTTCGGCCTCTCGCCTTACCACCCAGGTCTCTCGCAGCAAGAAGAAGAGAGCACCCTCCAATTCATCCTGGGCGACCACCAGTCCTACATCGTGGGCACCTCCGGCCCCGCCAACCGCACCTGGTGGTTCCTCGCCATGAATCGGGGAGCCATCCACCACGGGGCGGAGATTCCGAAGTACGATGCGGCGGATAAGGAGCGCGTGCTCCGCGCGCATGCAAACGATCAGATTACCCCGACTGTTACGTTAGCGGATCTACTGGATGCCGGCCCGGTGGAGACGGTCTACACGCCCCTGCGGGAGTGGGTGTACTCGCGATGGCATCTAGGGAGGATGGGGGTGGTCGGGGATGCGGCACATAAGGTGAGCTTTCTTTTTTTGTTGTCCCCTCGGTTGAAAGGTGTGTGGTGAATGGAGTTGAAGTGGGCTAACGAAGATACTGTTGGGGATGGAGGGTTAGATGACGACGGTGCTCGCACAAGGCGGTAATCAAGCTATTGAGAGCGCTGCTGCGATGACGAATAGCCTGGTGAAAGTGCTGGCAAATGGGAAATCTGGAAGAATGACGGACGGCGAGATTGAGGCAATGTTCGAGGAGGTGCAGGTAGGACGTGCCCCGAGAGCCACAGAGATGATGGAGGCGTCCGGCAAGAAGCAGCGGGCGGATGCGATGGAGACGCTGGAGCTGAAGCATTTCTCGATGCATGTGTTTCCGAAAATCATGGCGGAGGGGGCGTTTCGGCGGTGGAAGGAGTATTTGGTCGGGGCGGTGTCGTTGCGTGGGTTGCCGGTCCCGTATCGGAGGAGGGTGGTGCCGTTTGATGACGAGGTGGAGCGTGGGACCGAGGGGCTGGGGAGATTGGTGGCTAAGTTGTAGAGGTGAACTGGATGGGTCTAGATCTTGGGCTGGGCTGTTGTGGTGGTCCGATGGGTTGTCTTCGATGAGATGGAGATAATGGCGGGGGATAGGGCTGGGGGCATCAGGTGATCCTCCTCATCATGAAGAAGGAACTCTCGAGGATTGACGATATGTCTAGACTCTCGATACTCAGTGCTTGGAATGGTTCCTGATCCACATTGACTTTCATTAAACCTAAAGCTTATTCCGGGTCATGACGTCATGGATTTCTAACCCCGTTTGCTTGCAAATCTTCTTTGTACTCACTTAACATACTTTCTCTCACCTCATCTCACCTCGTTCCATATGGAGATGTAGCACCACCACCCAAACCAATGAGCACCCCGCTATTCGTGGCCGAGGAAGTGCTGTGCACCTACCCCATCAGCACAGTGTACGACTCGTGCCCACGCTACCTGTTCTATGCTCTCCTGCTAGCCACCTGTGTGACCCGGTGGACGGGGTGGCTCTCCGACGTCTTCCTAGGAGCCGCGGCGACCTACGCGGGAACCGCGGCTCTGGAGGCCTTCATCCTGGTCTCAAGCCCAGCGCAAGATGCCCCTGCAAACCCAGTAACCCTTCCTTACATCTCACCCAACGACACAGCCCTCCTAGCCAGCCTGACCCCATCCTTCCCCGCCCTGATCACCAACACCACAACCCTCCCCATCACCCCGGCCACCATCGACCTGGACGCCGACGCCGTCCTCGCCATTGTAGTAACCGCCTACCTGATCTTCCTGCCCCTGCAAACCTGGTCCCGGGCGTTCATGCACTCCCGCGCGCGCTTCATCCTCTTCTCCCTCTGGCACATCCTCATGCTGGCGGGCACGATCAGCGCCCTGATCTACTGGCCGCGCGTGCGCAACACGCCCACGCAGTACGCCTTCTGCGCGCCGGACTACTTCCCGCCGGAGGACACCGTCTCCAGCGACGGGTGGCAGGCGTGGCAGTGGCGGACGCCGTCGTGGAACAGCAGCGTGTGGGCGATCTTCAGCAACACAACGCTCTTCAACTCGCTGCCGACGGTGTGCTACTACCCGTGCTTCAACACGACGCAGCCGCTGCGCCAGCAGTCCGCGCTCGAGGCCTCCGTCGCCGACAGCGCGGCCGACCACACCGCGCGCTCCGCCTTCTGGTCGCGCATCCTCTACTCCGAGCGCTACATCTACAGCCTCATCGGTCTGACCCTGGTCGTCAACGTCGTCCTCCTCCTGTTTCGGTGTCTGCCGTACCGCTCGCGCATCCCCTCGTCGCGGGTGCGCACCATCTGGCGCGAGCGCAAGACCATCGCGCAGGGTTTCCGCGCGGACTGGTTCGCGGTGGGGCATCCGGCTTCGTTCATACATCCCAAACACCTTACCACCCCCGCTTCGGGGGATCACGTCTCTACCAGTGAGGCACGCGAGAACCGAGGAAGTGACAGCATCCTCGAGAAAACGCGCGCCACCCTCTCGACCGCCACCACGACCCCGCACACCATCACCTGCCTCCTGCACCTGCACACGCTCGGCTCCCTGGTGCGGCTGTTGCTGGACCTGTGCATCCTCTTCGCCGTCGTGTTCAGCATCGTCATCAGCCCGCTGACCGTGCTGGCCTTCGTCGCCTGGATCGAGTATTACATCCACGAGGACGGGCCGGCCCAGGAGACGCCCAAGCAGGTCGGGCAGTGGGCGCCCCTGGCGTCCATCGGGTTTCTGGTGGTGTCGGCGGGCATCCTCAAGTTAAAGGTGTGGGTTGCGCCGCGGCGGGAGATCGAGTGGGAGATCGAGCAGGTTCGGGGACGGCTGAAGCGGTTGGAGGGGATGATTGTTTAGGGTTTGGCGTTCTTTTACTCGTGAATTGAGGCAAACAGGGGCTTTTGTCGTGCAGAAGCTAATTAATGAGTGAGGTGGAGCGCATGCTCCAGCGCTAGCCTTACCTGTATCATACTATCATCTCTCTCTACCAAAGAAGGAGTCAGTAGGATAACCCTAACCACCACCCGCAATCTCCCCCTCCAACCGATCCGCCAAATCCATCAGTTCCCGGGGTTCCATCCCCAGCCCGATCGTCGAGTGGATCGCCAGATACTCCCATTCCCAGTCTGTGGTTGGATCGTGCACGTCCAACCCACCATCGTCACCACCACTACCTCCCGCCTCTGCAACGCCAGGTTCATGGACCTGCTGCCCCCCCTGCCGCTCCATCCCCCCAGGCGAAACCTCAGCACCACCAGCAACAGGCGTGATCGGCCCCATCATCACGCGCAGATTCTCCAGCTCCGCGCGCCGCATCGGCGCCGCCAGGTTCCCCCGGGCGACGATCTTCTCGAGCACACAGTCGATGTGCTCGGTCCAGGGGGGTTCGGCGGGGATCAGGGCCGGCGCGATGGCCTGGATGACGTAGAGGATGAAGGCGGAGGCGAAGGCGTCTTCGATCTTGAAGGGGAGGAAGGATTCTTTCTCACTCGTATTAGTATGAGCCCCTGGTGTGAGGGTGGCTTGGGTTGAGGGGTTGGGGGATACCGATTAGATCCTCGTCCGCGAGCGTGCGGAGAGTCTGCAAGACCGTCAACGCGGACTCGACGCAGCACTGGAGCAGCGAGGAGACGGTGGCGGAGAGGCTGATGGCGGCGCGGGATGGGGCCCGCTCGATGTGCGTGTGCAGCGCGCACATGACTAGGGGTCGGGTGGTGAGGACGATGCTCTTGCATTATTGGTCAGTGGCCCGTTGAAAATGTTCATTTGGGAAAGTAGGATTCGTTGGGTGGAAAGATAGGGAATGTACATGGTGATACCCCAGGACCAACCGCGTCGCTGTCCGCGACGCCCGGCTCAACGCCGCGGGGAACTCGGCGTTCAGGAACCCGGTGAGATCCTGCGAGAGCTCGGCCAGGTTCCGGAGGATGGCCTGCGTGTCTTTGATCAGTGTGCCGGTGGAGTCGGGGCCCACGCCGTAGACCGCTAGAGGTTTCATTGGTCAGGTAACGGAGAGGAATGAAGAGGGTTAGGAGTGAATGTACTCGTTAGAATCCTCGCATTTAGTCTGGCGAGGCGCACGTGGAAGGTGATCGTCTTCTCGTCCACCGAGCCATCGCTGTACAGCCGCACGGTGATGTCCTCGTCGCGGATGGAGCTGGGCGCCCGATCAGGGCGGCGAACTCCCGATCCAGTATGTAGACGATCCAGAAAATGGTCCGGCAGCGGTGCGAGAATTCCGCCCCGTCCAGCTCCTCCGGCACGTGGCGGTGGATGCCTTCGATGATGCAGAAGCGGAGGGCGAAGCCGATCTACATCTTATCAATTGGGTGCGCCGCGTGTAGGCTACCAGGTGAAAGGGAGGAAACACACGTGCTGAAATGCGGCGACGCGCATATCGATCGACTGGAAGTACAACGCCGCGAGCGTTAAGGTGCGGATGCACTGCAGCGGATCGGGATACATCCCCGACAAGTCCGGCATCAGGGACATCGCGCGCGCGGCGTACTGATACCCCGATGGCGGCGCATTCGGCGGGTGATTCTGTGCCAGGAAGGCTTTTCCAAAAGCGAGGAGCAGAAGATACTGTGCGTACCACAGACGCATCGATACAACTTTCGTGGCGGGATCGGTGTAAAAGTCATGCAGGTGGCGGAGGAAGGAGGGGCTGTCGATGATGAAGAACAGTGTCCCCAGGTAGTACTTGACGGTGTGGAAGAGATACAGCCCGTAGTCGATCGGGGGCAGGTGGCATACTTCCGGAGTGTCATCCATCGGCAGAGATCGCCATTTCAGAGCAAAAGCTGAGGCGTCGACGTTCCATGGGTCTGGGGGACAGTTGGCGTCGGGGACATGCTTGCCTAGCAGAGCGAGCACGCGGCGGCAGAAGGACCAGGAGGAGGTGGGGCCCATGTACCCTATCCTGTGTTAATGCTACTTGCTCCAATAGTGTGAGGGCAGCTCACAGAATCGTCCGTCCGGGGACTGTGCAAATGAGTATTCTACTAGAGGATTTTTCGAAAATGTCGACCGCTGTCCGTCTCTATCTGGTTGAGAATCATGCTCTGATGGGGCTGCCGGCTGTGTCAGTACGAAGTGTTCAGGAGGGAAGAGACGACCTACGGTTGGTCTCGACATGTGACTGAAAACCTGAATATCCCTCTTGTTGCTCCAGAATCGATGGATGCGAGAAGACAAATGAGTCTCCGTCTTCGGTCGAGTTGCGTACATCAGTGTACCGCACAGCTGCAGCCGCACTATGGCGACGCTCGAGATCACGGAGGTAGCTGCATTCGCACCATCAGCCACCGACTAATAGGTACAATCATAGCTGTCAGGTCACCTCTCTGGCACTGAGACCCTTGCCTCCTCCACTGCATAGTGGCATGGTTTCTTGGTCCGGGCACAACGCGCACAGGGATTTGTGCCGGAGCACTTAACCTTCATGGAACGACATCGTACGCAGCTGAATTAAGTTAGTTCATATCTTTGACGGATACACCAGCTAGACTCACGCCTTCTGACATTTCTTGTAGACCCTTGATTGCTCTGAACTGCGAAGAGACATGTCGATACCCGCGTATCGGAGGGTGGTTCCGATAAGTTGATGCGCGGAGAGAAAAGTCGGACTGAGGCCGGAGCCTGAAGCCGAGCTGGGATCGCTGACTAATACATTGAGGCGATCGCTGGTTTCGACTTCATAAAAAAGATCGACACCAAGAATATCTACGTATGACATGAGGCTAGAAGATGAACAATAGAGCTGTACGCCAATTTGATATCTGCTTATCTTTGGAATACCAAGTGCACTGAAGCGCTTATCATACGAGACCCCCGATTTCGGAGCGGCCACCCGAAACCCCGCCGGAGATTCCACCAACATTCGCAATTCTGCCACTTCCCTCGATGATTCATTCACCCAACCATCCGACACACAACACACCAATACACACAAAGACAACATGGCTCCTCAATCAACACTAGCAATCATCGGATGCGGTACGAGACGGCCCCTCACCCCAGCCCATGCACCAAATAAAACTAACCCTGTTGAACAACCAGGAAACATGGGTTCCGCGATCCTAAGCGGGATCCTCGACGCCACGCGCGCCGACCCAACTACCAGCCCGTTCGGGCGCATTATCGCCTGCACCAAGAGCGAGCAGTCGGCCAGCCGACTGCGCGAGCAGCACGCCCAGGACCGCGCGCGGGTGGAGGTCCGCGCCGACGCGAACCTGGCCACCGTGCGCGAGGCCGACTACGTCATGCTCGGGTGCAAGCCGTACCTGGTCGAGGCGGTCATCGCGGCCGACGGAATGGCCGACGCCCTGGCGGAGAAGTTTATCATCAGCGTGATCGCGGGCAAGACCCCGGCCGTGCTGGCGGGGTATATCACCGAGTATGCCAGTGCCGAGGTCAAGGCGTCTGCGCGGCCGTCCGTGGCGCGGGCGATTCCCAACGTGGCGGCCAGTGTGCGCGAGTCGATGACCGTCGTGGAATTACCGGCGGAGTGTACGGCGGCGAATCGCGAGGTGGTGGAATGGATGTTCGCGCAGCTGGGGCAGGTGAGAGTGGTCGCGCCGGAATTGTTTGACCTGGGGTCGATGCTGGTCGCTGCGCTGGCCCCGTTGTCTGTCGCAGTGGACGGGATCCTGGATGGCTGCGTGGCGGAGGGGATGCGGCGGGCGGAGGCCTCGGAGATGACGGCGCAGTGTCTGCTGGGGCTGGCGCAGTTGCTTAAGGGTGGGGTCCATCCGGCGGTGCTGCGCGAGAGCATCTCCTCGCCCCGGGGTTGCACGATTCAAAGCCTGTTGACGGTGGAGAAGGCTGGGGTGCGCAGTGCGTTCGCGGAGGCGATTATCAACGGGACGCGGCATTTGCATGACCTACAGAAGAAGCAATAGAAACGACCTAGATAGATCGGATTCAATAGACATAATACAAATATCATTACCGCAAATTCAAAGCTACAATCCTCCCTATGGCCATCCGACGTCTGTGGGACATAAGTTCATTACGTGATCTGATGAGGTCCTATCTAAGTATAGCGTGCAAGGGGATATGACTGCGTAACATCTGCACCGTCCCTGATCCAGCAGACAAATTTAGAACCCAAACACCATCTGAGAAATTCGACCTCCTAATTCTCCACAATTCATGTGACGCATTTTCATGCTCCTCACATGGAGGAATCTCCAAACCCATCGCTCAAAACGATCCTTACCCTTACACCAATGACAATCACCTCAAATCACTGCCCCATATCAACCGCGCCCTACTCCTTATTCAACGGCTCCCGAACCGCCGAAATATACTACCACCAGAATCAGTCACACAATCATCACAACCCTCAACGAAAACTAAGGGAAAACCTACGGGAATAACCTGCGCCTTCTCCAAGTCCCACACGCCACTCTTAGCGTAAATATCGTTGTTGATCAGCTCATGCACCTCCTCCACCGTCTCCCCAGTCACCACGATCATGCTGCCCTTGAAGGAGAGGGGCTTGCCCTCCTCCGGGTGGGAGTCGACCATCGCGCCTGCAGCCAAAAGTCAGCACATACAGACCTTAAGAGGCATCGCTAGATGCGCGTGTTGGGTCTACAGGTAACGGGGTAGGGACACACTTACCGCCGACGACCATCTTTCCTGCCTCGATGAGGGGTTTGAGTTCCGCGTAGTGCATTCTTTTACCCAGAGTTAGTAATCTGGCAGAAGAATTGGGGACAGGAAGACGTACGGCCGGACTTGCAGGCGGAGGTCGAGGACGTTGGGCTTGTCGGGGAGGATGCAGAGCCATTCTTTCTTCTTGGGGGGTGCAGTGGCTAGGGTGCGGTGGGGGAGGTAGCGGTGAAGCAGAGGGGAGGGGGAGGAGAAGGATTTGGTGAGGCGGAGCAGGGACATGTTGACTAATGGGGAAGTATGGAATGGGGAAAGGTTAATGGTTTGAATTGAGGTTATACACTGCTGGTGATATACAGTATAGTATAGAAGTGTGGGTGGGGGGATGAATTGTTGATCGACGCCGACGCGTGGGCGAAAAAACGCGGGGAAACAAAACCCGGCCGAGGGAGGAACTTCCGATGGTCGGAGGCGAGGTCCGATGTGGCAGAGGTACGGTGGGTGTGGCTGTTACCATTTTTCCCAATTTAGCGATATGCTTGACTTGCTATACCTTCGGTTGCAATGCAAATGAGGACTGTACTCGAAAGTCTTTTCTGATTTCATTATATTTCCGAAATTCACTAACTTGGTATAGCGGCGATAGCAAGAACGACATTGAACCTTCTTTCATGTCAGACTCTCTAATAACTCTCTAATAACAACACTTGAAAATCTAAACGCCACGTCTATTCCCATGGTATCATAAATCTAATTCCCACCGTCCTCATTCCTCCTCTCCAACTTCCTCAACGCCTCACTCTTCTCCACCTCCACCCCCCACTTCGTCCGCGGCCGCTCAAACGTTGACGTGATGCGTCCATACGCCACACCCCCCAACTGCGCCACGGGCCTCAGCTTCTCCAAGTCGATATGACTGCCCTCCGCATCGACCGCCCCCTCCTCCACCCAGAACCGCGTCGCCTTGATCAACACCACCGCCGACACACTCATCCCGGGGCTGTGGGCCGCGAACTCCTTGATCTCCAGCACCTGTCCCTCGATCGAGAAGACCGACTCGCGGACGCGCGACGGGGCTACAGTGGCGCTGGGCGCCTCGGTTAGCCCGCTGACCTCCCACTCCGACACGCCGTAGGGGGCATCGACGGCCGTGGCGTTGACCGCCTCGATCATCCCCTCGGAGACGGTGTTGATGACGCACTCGCCCGTCGCCTGCAGGTTGCGGTACGTGTCCTTGGCGCGGCCGGGCCGCGAGGAGAACCCTACGACGAACAGCGGCGGGTCGTGGTCGACCACCTGGAAGTAGCTGAAGGGCGCCAGGTTCTTGGTGGTGCCGTCGGCGGAGACGGTGCTCAGGAAGCCCACGGGCCGCGGCGCGATGCCCGATACCAGCAGGCGGTAGTTGTTGATCGCCGGGCGGGAGGTATCGTAGGGGTCGATCTCGCGGTGGGTTTTGCCGGCACTGGCGCCGTTGTCTGGCACGCCTTGGCCGTAGGTCCAGCTGGGGTAGGGGGATTGGGTCACCTCGATGGCCGGGGGAGTGTGGTCGAAGGGTAGGCGGCTGGCTTCCGTTTGTGCGAAGTTGGAGATGTCTTGCACGATTTTGTAGTTGGCTTGCGCTGCTTTGGTGGCTGCTGCTGCTTCTTCACCCGGAGAGGAGGATGAAGGAGCTGGGGCAGCGGGGGTTGCTGCTGCTGCTGCTGCTGCTGCTGCTGAGGAATTCATTCGCAATCGGGTGAAAGGACGAAGGGCGGGAGTCCCGATGAGGTGCATAGGTCTGGTTGTTTGGTTAGTGGGTGTTGTGCTGGGTATCTGGGGACTGGATACTGACCTTGAAGTGATGAGTCGACTGACTCTCTTTGCCGCTGTGGCCATTGAGCGGGTTCGTTTGGTGGTGGTGATTCACAAAGTCCTATCCAGCGGGTAGTGTCACTTGCAACGAAGGCCGCCTACAAATAGCACGGGGAAATGCTGCTTAAATTGCGAAATAATTGTTCAAGAAGCCAAGCCGACTGAAAGAGGAATTTCTCCATTTGCCTCCAATTGCTTAGGAAACCCGAGTCGGCGGGTGGGGCCGATCTCCTGCCTCCAGCCTTAGGCACCTCCCTCGGCACGGCATCGGGGTCCTTCCCCGATGCCGATCGGCTCATCAGTCACTCTATAGATTAGCAAAGCTAAAGGTTCTGTGCTCTTCCTTTCTTTGAACTGTGGTAGACTAACTGAATGCCCAGCTAAACATAACCCTGCGTACCCGCTAAACAAGTAAAATGTTCCGTCGCGCCATCTCTTACCTCCCTTGCCACCACCTGTCGAATGCCCCTCCGAGCGTCTATCCACTCCGGACGCTGCAACATGCTCCCTCTCCAAGCAACCCGGGAAAAGACTACGGTCTCGAGTATCTACACTGACAAATGCTATGTGCTTGAGTCCGACCACAACACTACTATTTAGCCCTTACATAGTCCCCACTATACCAACCGTGTAAGCCCAGCCTTCGCCCACTACGTACGTCCCCCCTCATGATCCACCGGGAACAAGCACTACTAGTTAGTACCTGTGCTGACCTGCACACAATCAAAAAGTCTCAAGATATCAGAGCCGGTAACCACGTCTGGCTCTCCGGCCAGATCCCAGCCGACCCCCAAGGGAACCTGATCAAGGGGTCTGTGACGGAGAAAACCCAGCCCCTCATCCAGAAGACGGAGGCTATCCTCCAGGAGGCGGGCTCTGGGCTGGATTGGGTGGGCAAGGTTGTGGTGAGTTGTGGACCTTGAACCCTCCTTTTTGGGGTTGGGGGGTGGGTATTCTTTTCATGTATGCTGTACCTGTCTGATCATGTATGCTGTGCCTGTCTGACTGGGGATCTGACAGGTATACGTGACGGATGCAAGCATCATACCCGAATTCCCCAAAGTATATGACCCGGCATTCCCCCATCGGCCGGCTCGGTCGATGGTGGAGGTGCCCAAGTTGCCGGCCGGGGTGGATATTTAGGTGGATTGCTCCGCGGTGGTAGAGTAATTTGAAGATTAGCCGGAGAACGTTTCCATGGGATGAAGAGATGAAAGCATTGGGCAGATGGATGGATGAATATGTGTCTGAAGTACTCGGAAAATCATCCTTCGATGGCTACGTAGTATACCTAGCATATACGAAGAGAGGCTTCCTGCCTCAAAATGGCCCTTTGGCAGGTGTGTATATATCAAGGTAGTCGTTTCTCGAAGATCGCCTGGAATCGATCATTCACCATTCTCCTGCTCACCAGTATACCAGAGTATGCCAAGCATTTCCTCCCTGAAACCCAGCATCCGCCAGCTCGTACTCTACACACTTGCACTCCACGAGTTTACAGCAACAGCAGGTAGGAATTTCTTCATGGCACAGAAAATGCATTGAGTTGCCGATAGTTTTCTCTCTCTTCTATCAACCAACACAGGATATCTATATACCAATATACCATCTAAGAAGGTTTCATCCCCATCATTGATCAAAAGCAACCCCCACAAGAAAAAAACAAGTTCCATACATGTATGTGTGTGCCCGTCAGCCTTTGTTTTGGGCCGTAGGCGGAGTCGTTCGTAAAAAAAAAACACACATTGTTCCCATCACCATTCCCAAGAAAAAGAAAGCAATAGCCAATGCGGAGAATCTTTGTGATAGTAAAACCAAAAATCAAAAAGGGAAAAGACATCAAACATTGAAGGGCGCTTATTCCACGTGAAAGTGAAAACCCTTCGGGGTAATCGATTGCGAAGTTCAAAGCAACACGGCTCCGACTATACATGTATAAATGTGGGGAGAGGGAGGGGTATCTGGTGATTATTTTTTGTTTGTGAGAGAAGCAGGAATCTTCATGTTTAGTAGGTCTCCTTGCGCTCCTGGCTCTCGCCACTGCTGAGGGCCAGCTCGGCCTTCTCGGACTCGTGGGCCACCTGGTGGGAGGGGATGTCCAGACCGACCTCGGCGGACATCTGGGCGATCTGAGCGGGCGTGAGCTTGGGGAGCTCATTGGCGACCTGGTAGGGCCACTTCTTCTCCATGTGGGCCTTGGCGAAGATGATGTCGATCTCCTCGAGGTCGCGGCCGGCGGTCTCGGCGTAGAAGTACCAGGCGAAGGGGATGGCGACGAAGTTGATCAGGGCGAAGAACAAATAGATACCCCAGGAGCTGGAGGAGGAGAAGACGGGCGTGAACATGACGACGGCGAAGTTACAGATCCAGTTGGTGCAGGTCGAGGCGGCGGCGGCCATGGTACGGGTGCGGAGAGGGTTGATCTCGGGGGGGTAGATCCAGGGGAGGGGCAAGGTCGTGAAGGCGAAGAAGACGATGAAGAGGAAGATACCCACAACCGCACCCTTGGAGTTGGACGTGGTGTCGTCGATCAGGCAGCCCATGGTGATGATGAAACTGAGCCCCTGGCCCAGGAAACCGATGAGGAACAGGTTGCGGCGACCGACCTTCTCGATCATGAAGAAGGAGGGGATGGTGGCCAGCGCGTAGACGGTGGCGAAGACACCACCCAGCACCAGGGAGAGACGGTGCTCCATCTGCAGGTTGGTCTCAAAAAGCAGGGTCGAGTAGTAGATGGCAGCATTGCAACCAGTGAACTGCTGGAAGAACTGGCCCGAGCATCCGATCATCATGCGTTGGAATTCCTGGGTCTTGCCGAAAGTGAACAGCGTCTTGAAGCTGGCCTTGTTGTCCTGAGTGGCCTTGAGATCCGCCTTCATGAGGTTGTAGTCCGCCAAGACCTCGTCGGAGTCGGGGGAGAGGTCGTTTAGCGCGGCCAACACCTCGCGCGCCTCCTGGTCGTGACCGCGCATGACGAACCAGCGAGGGGACTCGGGGAGCATCAGGGCACCGACGGTGACCAGCACGGCGAAGATGATCTGGAAGGCAACGGGGAAGCGCCACTGCACCGAAGTGTCGACGTACGAGAGACCGAAATCGAGCCAGTAAGCGACGAAAGTACCGACGGCGATGATGGCACCCTCGAAGCAAACCAGGAAACCACGGTTGTGGGCTTTCGAGCATTCCGACTGCCAGACGGGGATGGTGGCAGTGTCCATGCCGTTACCCAGGCCCGAGATGACACGACCCACGACGAACTGGCCCAGACCCCATTTGTCTCCGTAGGAGGCGGTGGAGATGACAGCGCCGACAGTCATGATGATACCACCCGCAACCAACAGAGGAGTCCGACCAATGCGCTCACCGAAGCAGAGAGTGAAGATGGCACCGAAGAAACAACCGATCTCGTAACAGGCGGTGACGGCACCGCGAAGGACAGAGACGTGGTTCTCATCCTTGCCAGCGCCGGTAGCCAGGGCAGGAAACTCAGACGTAAACTGATCACCAGAGATGATACCGGACATCAGACCCTGATCATAACCGAAAAGTGAGAAACCGAGGACGGAGACGATGGTGATGGCCAAGCGGAGCTTGCGGCCCCGCAAGCCACATGTTGTTGTCCACATGTTGACTTAAGGAGATCGATCTTCTTCTTCTTTCAAAACGGATACCAATCGATGAAGAATGTTGGTATGCGTGACAGTTGAAAGAAAGGGGGAGAAGGGGAAGGGGGGGAAAGGTGGAGAGAGGTAAGGGATGGAGGTTTGACAAGAAGGAAGGGATCTCCCAACCAGGGCAAGGACAGCAGCAGCAGGGTTTATGTATGTTTCGCGATGCTACGCAAATGCTAGAGATGCTAGAAATGCTCGAAATGCTTGCTAATGCCGAGAGAACATAAGACTTAGTCGGAAAGTGGTATAGGGCATGTGTCGCGAGCCGCCAAGGGGGCCAAGAGGGCCAAGAGGGTTTAGAGGGGGACCACTGGGGCCATTCACACCTTCTCAACACCAATTAGATCTTTTGGGGCCCCGCGAAAAAAAAGCTCAGTTCGGGGTTCACGGCGCCATTGACGTCAGGGATTCAAACGCGACGCTACGCTGGTTGCGACTGTGCCGCTTGGCACTCGTCTGTGGTTCAGGGCACTGACTGCTCCCGGAAAGAGTAAGATTGCCGACCTTCAAGCTCTCTCTCCAGGTTACTGTTATTGATGAACTTCATGGGTGATTGATGATTAAGTTCCTATTCCCTGCTGATGCGGGGAGGGGAATGTGGAACATTGTGAACCGATTCAGTCATCCATCAGTCAATCAAGATCGAGTCATCTCTCGCCAGCAGGGATGACAGCAGTCATCTCCCACATGGCCACGCCTCCCCTCCCTCCCTTCCTTCCTCCCTCGCTCTCTCTCCATGCGGAGAGATAGCACATGGAGGGAGGGTCGGATTAAACCGGCGTGAGTGGTGGGAGACAGACCACTTAGCCAAGGGACTGAGGATCCACTCTATATGCACCAAGTGAGGATCTTCCCCTTCCTTTGCCCTAACGGGAACCCGTTCCCATCCCCTCCCCCCCATCTTCTGCCATCTCAGTGCTCACCATGTCGAGTCAGTCCATTCAACGACGGTAAAATTCCGAGCGATAATTTCGTGGGCCAAGGGATGCCTCTGCCCCGGCCGAGATTACTCGAGTACAATCCTTCGATTCGTTTCAGTTACCGTTCTTGCTTCGTGCTGGCGCTGTTTTAACCGCCGAAACCCGGGTTGCCGCGCCGGGAAGCTAAAGCTTCCTGGCTGACGCCCCGGAAGCCGTCGATCCCAATCACATGAAACTTGAACAGCCAAGCCGGGGAAGGGTAGGCACAGTAAGCAAACATGAGGACAGTTACGGGTTTAAGCTAGAGAAAAGCCATGGTGACACTATGTAGTAAGTACAGTAGTACTTTTTAAGTGAGCAGTAACACCAGCCAGAAAGGGTCCAGTGGGCAAGCAAGGGACTTCGGTAGCTACCATGGGTATTAGCCGAGATCGAGAAAATTCTGAGCAACCCTACAGATGGGGACTTGATGGAGGGAGGGAGAGTCGGAGGGGGGACCAACAAAATAGGGCAGTCGGTTTATTAGGCATCCGTTGTTGGCGGACCCCATACCCCATACCGAAATCTTTGCGGGTCCGGGGGGGACTTTTGGGTGAGGGACGGACGGAGAGGTCCGACCTTTCTTTCCCCTCTCTCTATTCTGTTACTTTGCATCTGACTCGGAATTCCCACACTCCCTCCCCAGTGAGGCTGCAACTAAAGCCGACAACACCGCCGTGACCGCCGCCCGTATCTCCCACCTCCAGCTCCTCCCCTCATTTTACCGTGTTAAACCTCGAGATACCTGCCGCAACCGAGTCTCCCCTCCAAATTGGAACCCATGTTTATTCGTGGGAATCTCCTCTAAAAGTGGGTTTTCTTACTAAAAAGTGGATCGGCGTAGTATTTGGTCAGAATAGGTTAGCGTGGGGTGGCCTGAAAAGAAAAAACTCTGCGCCCGAAAAAAGGGAAAAAAAAAGGCAGAAGAAAAAGAGGATAAGCCAATGAAATGCCTTCCAGCAGGTGCTGCTAAGGTACGGTTGTATTGCCAATCAGCCTGGAGCACATGCTCTAACCCGGTAGTAGTCCAGGTGCAAAAAGCACGTGTGTTTCGGAGTTACTTTGTCCACCAACCCATGAATCCGGGATAGTTTCAATTCAGAATCCAGGAAAAAGTCGATCTCTCTCCTGTTCTGACTCCAGTTTCCCACCGTTCATGTATGTATAGCTGCACGCCAGAAACGTGCGCCAAGGGTTGGTCCCGATCGCGAAGTGTACCAGAGCGAGAGAAGAAGAGAGGGCAGGGCGATGAGCCGCACCATGGTCCTCGCTTCAAGCCACTGCCGTTCCGTCTGAGACTCCACTAAATCTTACTCTCTGACCGCCTGCTGGGCCTGCTGGGCCACTTGCTAGTTTGGTGCATGACTAATGGTTGAGACTTGGCACCTCCGCTGACTCAGCTGACTCACCTCTCTCGCAAATGGCTGCTCCTCCGATACTACACGGAATATCCTCGGCAGGATCAGGTCCAATGCTTCTCCCCTGCTATTTCACCTTCAAGCCACTGCCTATTAGCGAATTTACTTTCATCCAAAGACAGTGAGACTGAGTCCCCAAAGTGTACTCCGATGCAGGTGCAGGTGCAGGTGCACAAGGGCGGTGTGAGCACCCGCGGTGCGGGTGGGGTGGATCTCAATCCCTCAATCTCACAAGATCATCCATCCCATCTTAACGGTTACCTTCCGCAAGCAGTAACATCCCCGAGAGGAACCCAACCATCGAAAGCACTTTGCTCCGATGGAACACGCCGTGCACAAATCGACCCTCGACCCAACCCCAACCCATGACGTACGCTTCAGGCGTATACACGATCTTTCCACGTACGTATATGAACAAAAGTTAGTCCTTGGTACTATAACGCCCTCGTCGCTACCAAGCTCCATCGCGGCTGGGCGGGTATCCAAGCGCGGTGGTATGATCCTGGAGGCCCCCGTCGGCAAACCTTGATTGGATCAAGGCACGGTAGTACACAAACCAAGCAGCGAGTCTTGAGCTTCGGGATACAGTAGACCTTGTCAAAGAATAGAAGAGAAAAAAAAAGGCACACGTCAGCGGTGGGATGGCAAGCCGTCGGGTGTGAAACCTCCTTGCTGGGCTGACGCATCAAAAATTTATATCACTAGTATCGCGCTGCCGCGATTTGTGCGTATCGCGCGCTCTCCGGCTGAAGTAAAATAGAGTTCTTAGAAGTTGCTCTGGTGAACTATATCTACGCCACTGATTGTATGGTCGCAGATCAAGGAACAGGATAAACTGTTGCTGACACCAGAGGATTGGGCGCAAAGGCGAGCTGGTGCTCGGCAGAGCGACGGGTACAGTACATACAAAGCAGAGTGACGAGTGCGGCTGTTGCGCATCAGCGCGGGCCGTTCACGGGTGGTGTATTCCCTGCTGCTGGGTGCTTGGCAGGGACGTCATTCCTCGAAGTCGAAAATCGGATTTCAAGAGCAAAGTCGACTTAGATGGGCTCTAGAGGTGTGTGCGTGGTGTACGAAGTACTGTAGTCTGTATATGGGCACTTTGGTTGTTGATGCCATGTGAAGATGATTTGGGAGCGGGTTGTCTGGTTGACAGGAGCTCTACACCGCCTAGTTTCTTTGGAACCGGCAGAAGCATTTTAGCTACTAGGCGGTAAAGACCTTGCGACTACTCTCCCTGGCCGACTCGATTACAACTCAAGTAAACCACTTAAAACTTGCTAGAGCTTCAACAATCCCCAAGTAGTAAAACCTAGGCTATTGAAGAGACTCTTCATACTTGGATATGGCTATCCAAGCCACGCTTGACTTTTTTAATTTTCAGTCAAGAGGTGAAATTCCTCGCAAGTTGTAAGTTCGCTGGCCGGGTAGTGTATACATTTATTTTGTTCGAGTGCTTTGTGTCATGCTACGGAACTATCATCTGCTTCACAGAGTCATTATTTGTGCTTGCAACCCACCAGACTAACAAATCAGGCCGGAGTCTGAAGTGCAGCCTGATAGAACCTCGCATGGAGAAATGTACACACCTTACGGGTTTCCAGCCAAGGATGTATGTTTGTTGACACCCGCGACTGTGTTGCTGATGTCTCTTCCACAGCGCCAGTTACTTTATCCATCTAGTCACAACCCTGAAAGAACGCGAAAATTCTTCCTTCTGACCGAGGAACAAGAGTCAATTAGCTACATCTTCCAGCCCAGCCTCAGTTCCACTGCTCTCTCCAGTCAGGATGTTCGGGGGTATCCCCAGAACTGTTGCCTGAACGGGTGATCGAACCCCCCAGGATCACTTTAACCTGCCAGGCGATGTCAAGAGCCTTGCTCAAAACGAGCTGGATATACTTTATCACTTTATTGTCGGTGTTGTCGAACCCTGAGACGCGAACCGGCCAATCAAGCTTTATGCGGTCCGAGATGACCAGTAAGCACTGCTAGGTAGATTGGTTTCCACGGCTGAGACTTCAAGGTTGCAGTCAGCCACCATAACCTAGTATATAAGACAAAAACATGAACAGAGGCAAGCCCAAGGTGACACTTCCCTGCCAGGATTCAATCTTTCTTCTTCCTGTCGATTGCGAAGCCAACGTTACACGAACCGTCTCTTTCCGCCGCAAATAGAACTTAATCAAGCCCCTCGACCACCGTCATCACAACCTCTCCCCTTCAGCCCTTACCCACAGAGCCACCCTCAAAATGAACCCTCTCATCAGAACCCTCTACGGCTATCCCCCGCCACCACCCCGCCACCGCACCCAACCCATCCGCATCCTATGCGTAGGCCTCCCCCGCTCCGGCACAGAGAGCCTCAGCCTCGCCCTGACCCAACTGGGCTACACCCCCTTCCACGGCTGGGACCTAGTCTTCGACACGGCCGCGCACATCCAGGCGTGGGCGCAGCTGGCCAGACGCAAATACGCGCCCTCCGCGACCACCCCGCGGGATGACCCGATCACGCGGGCGGACTTCGACGCCCTCCTCCCCGGCGACTGCGACGTGGTCATCGACTCGGCCGCCGCCCTCTTCACGCCCGAGATCCTGCAGGCCTACCCGGACGCCAAGGTCATCCTCAACACGCGCCGCGACGTGGCCGCGTGGCAGCGCAGCGCGCGGCAGGCGTTCGTGACGGACGGCGCCGCGCACTGGGGTCTCTGGGTGTTGCATCTGTTCAGTGCGGAGGTGTTTTGGCTGTGGCGCTTGTATTATGCCGTTGGGTATCCGGGGTTGTTTGGGGCGAGGACGGTGGAGGAGGGGGTCGTGGGCAAGGGGAGACGGGTGTATCGGGAGCATGGGTGGTTGGTTAGGGGGCTGGTACCTTCTGATAATTTGTTGGAGTGGAATGTGGAGGATGGGTGGGGGCCTTTGTGTGAGGTTTGTGAATCTTTCTTTCTTTCTTTCTTTAGCATGAGAGAGGTTGGGTGTGCTTTGTGGTTGGGGTTGAGTTGGTGCTGACGAGGTATAGTTTCTGGAGAAGGAGGTCCCGCAGGAGCCGTTCCCCCAAACGAATACCGGGGAAGGTTTTCGGAATCGAGTTGAGTAGAGAGTCGGGCCCTGGCGGCGGACGGCTTTGGTGAATTTTGCCATTACGGTCACTTCGGCCGGGGTGCTGGGGACGGCGGTGGTGTTCGGGGCGAGGAAGGGGGGCTTGTGGTGGCCTGCTGTCAGGGAGATTCCGGGGGTGATCGGGGCGCGGTGGTTTTAGAGGAGCGGAATTGATAGGGTGGAAGGGTATACGGTCTGTGGAAAGAGGGTATATTTACAATGATGGTTTTCATTTCTACGATGCAGTGGATCTACAGTTTGTCGTCGGTGTAGCGGGAGGGAGAGATTATAAGAATCATGCATTTTCGGTCATTAATGTAGTCGGTCGTATTATGCTAAGCCCACGCTATGTATGTGTACAACAAAGAAACAAGCCCAGAGGTAATCTCACAAGAAAAAAGCAGAACCACCTAATCAAATACCAACGCGCGCACCTCAATGCTCTCCCGAGGCTTCGCATCGGCAGGAGAGCGGGGATGCACAAAGGCAGCATGGGGCACGCGGGCCACGGCGCCCGGCTGATTATCGGAGCACTGCAGCAGGATGCGCTCGTCGTCGGCGACATGCGACCAGTACAGCCATTTCTGGGTGGGCTGGTACTGGACGCTCATGGTCTCGCCGGTGAAGGTGGGGTAGCGGCGCTGGACGGGGATGAGATCCGCAGGGTCGGTGGAGCTCCCGCTGGCAAAGGCGAGGGGCAGCGACTCGACCCGCCCGTTGATCGGCCGCCAGACGTTGATGATGCGGAACCGGCCCTGCACCAGCTTTTCCGCCTCCGCGGGGTCCGCGATGCTCCGCCGCACGCGCGCCTCCGCCGCCGCCGCGGTCTGGTCCACGTGCGCGTACGTCACGGGCTGCCGCGAGGCGCTCGGGTCATGCTTGCGCACGGTGTGGTCGAAGATGACCACCCGCCGGGCGCCGGGGACGTGCTCGAGCAGGAATCGCTCGGTTTCCGGGTAGTAGATCTCGCGGATGGCCTCGTCGGAGTCGAATTGCGCGTAGCTCATGGCCGAGGGGACGCCCCGGAAGACTTGGAAGGCGTCCTTGGCGAGAGAGTACTCATCCTCGTGGCCGCGGATGTCAGTCAGATGGACTTGCTGGGTGGTCTGCGAGAAGTTCTGTTGCGGTTGGCCGGCTGGAGGCTGCTCCACGTAGGCGAAGGGCGCGGAGCCGTCGGCGGGGGCGCGGTAGAAGTTGATCTCCGCCGTGACGTCGCCTTGTGCTGTCATTTTCAATGACTTTTGTGTGGATTGTGCTTGGACTGAGTGGGCTTGAAATGAGTACGCTCAAATTGAGTGTGGTGCTGAGGCATAGATGAAATTGTTGTGTTGATGTGGTGTGGTGGTATATAAAGACAGCGGGCAGCGGGCGGCGATGACGCCACCGGCATCGAGGATTAACAATCAATCACCGAGCAATCCCCGGCACACAATATCTATACGATCACATAATCATCAAACTGCGTGTATGAAATACTCCTGGGGGGATTACTGGATTCGGTTTACATACGGTACATAGCAGTTGTCTCAATCCTGGAATTTCTCCAATCAGCGTATGTGGCGAGAAAGGTTGATAATCCAGAGGCTTACATGTGCAGTGGCCGGTTCCATTCGCCGAAGTTCCGCACCACGCAATAGCGATTAATCAGCCGTCGACGAAGTTCCGCATCACGCAACGGCGATTAATCAGCCGTCGAGATCCCTGCATCTTATCTGATCCGGGATTCGAAGATCAGCCATGATGTTTAAGCTGGCTACTCTAGGGTAGGGAAGATTGGTTTGATACAGAATGCTAGTTTAAATCGATTATGCAGTCGTAAACGAATTTTGGATGCAGGGAATTCAATCAACCGATTCAGCTGAGAATCCAGCTCTTACAGGCCCTCCTCGGGCTTATTTCTTGTCTTAAGTGAGGAGCAATTTATCAATGTATCCGGCATATACACATCTCAAAGAACAAGACAATGCCAGACATAGTATCCACTTCAACCTCATCGCACCAAACTCACCCGCTCCCCTTACTCCTTTCGCCCCTCCGCATTCCGCGCAATCAACTCCTCATACTCCCGAATATTACTCACCCCCTTAGGCATCCCATTCGGCTGCAACCCCTGCTCATCCATCAGGCGATCCCGCCGCTCGATGCACGTCCGCCATGCCGGCCGCGCCTCCATCCGCCGCTGCCACGCCTGCACATTGGGCCACGCCGCCAGATCCTGCTCGGCCTCCGGGAGCAGGTAATTCAGCCGCCCGTTCCACGGCACGAACGCCAGGTCCGCGAACGTCAGCTTGTCCCCCACGAGCCAGGTCTTATCGGCGAGGACCGTGTCCAGCACCCCCAGGACGCGACGGACTTCGGTGACGTAGCGGTCGATCACGCTGGGGAGTTTTTCGGGGTGGAGAACGGCGAACCTTTTTCCTTCTGTGTTAGCCTTTTAGGTCTTGGGTGTGCGAGAGGGATGGAAGGGTGGGTTGAGGGTCAGGAGAGAGGGCCTACCACGCCGCTTGGCCGAAGTACGGGCCCTGCCCGCTCATCTGGAAATGGAGGTATTGGTTGCAGAGGTGGCGCTCGGGGAGGTTGGGGAAGCTGAGCTTGTGGTCGGTGTCGTAGACGTCGATCAGGTACTGGATGATGGCGCCGGATTCCCAGAGAGTCAGGTTTGTGTTGGGGTCGACGATTGCTGTTTTTGTGGTTAGTGGTGGCTTAGGGCTTGTGGTTGAGGATGTTTGGCGGGTGATAAGATAAGAGCCTAGGCGTGGGTGGGTGGGCTTACCTGGGGCGCGGCCGTTGGGGTTGATGTTGATGAAGGGTGGGTTTTTCACATCGTCGAACTTGAAGGATTGGATCTCGTAGGGGACTTGGAGTTCTTCGAGAATGAGGACGACCTGGTAGATGGAGGAGGATGTCAATGCTTGATGGTGTTTGCTGTTAGTGTTGGTGGTGGCTGACCTTCCAGGGGTTAGGACCGGGAGCTGGGATTGAATGTTAGCTTCTGTGGGTGGGTGAGTGGGTAGTGTGCATAATAGAGACGTACGGGTCATCCAGACGGTGATGGGCTTGGTCATGGTGTGTGCTTGAATGTTGAGGAATCTTGTTTGAAGGATTCTAAAAAGAGGAGGGACGTGTGCTGCGGACACGGCTTATATAGCTTTCCCTTGGCTCCAAGGGGTAGGCACTTTGCTAAGCATAAGTTGCTGTTCCAAGAGGGTTCGAAGCTAAATCTCTGGCTATAACTAGATCTGGAGACGATCACACTCGTATAATCATGTACAACATGAGGCTGAATTGAAATGCAGCCATAGCGAAGCCTAATCGGGCAAGGTCTGGCGAAGTGGAGTCGTTTCCTACACGGCCAGGCCAGTCAAGTGCGGAGACACGGCGGGGCCTGGCGGGGCTGGCGTTGAAAGGGAGCGTAAGCGGGGTTCAACCCAACTTGTTGTCACGGGTGTCAGATTCCATATCAGAACTCGAGGACTACCACAACGTACTCGAGTGATCAACTGTGCTATCCAAAGCTTGTGTCCTGCAAGCCTTGACTTTCAACGGCCTACTAGCAGAAAGCAGGTTAAGAAGCCTAGATTGCAAATCAAAGAACCGCAACCCAGGCACCCTCTGTGCCATAGCTGGCACTGACCAGACAATGTCCCTCATCACGATAGATCACTCAAGCTATGCGGATGCTGAGGGCTGCGTTACCAGGTTATTGAGGATATAGAATGACGGTGTAGCGTTTCAATAAGCTTATGAGGGTTATCGGACTGGCTGGAATCTACAGAGTGTTCTAGAAGCGTAGAATTCTCCGTTTTGCATGGGGAAACTCATGCCGTCATCAATCATATAAGGCTATCTGATCACCACCATGATAGAACCACCAGACAATAGTGCCAGTTGAGGGCAACGCTCGCCAACCCTCCGTGCCCAAATCTACCCCAGGCTCATGCGCGCTACGCATGTCCTTGACACAATCTCGTCCATCAATAGCACCCGTTTTAACGTAAGCAGGCATCGGGACGTCTTCGCTGATGCCGTACTCCCACCTCACCTGTCCGAGTGACTCGATATGGTCGTCGTTATATACAAGCAGTAGACCTGAAATTGGATGATGTGGTTGCTCCGGATCCCTGCAGACCTGCACGTTGATCAGCCCATGGAGTGATGCTTTTGTCATGAACCAATTTTGCTTTGACAGGCCTAGGCGGCCATTGCGATCCCTCGGAGGCTCCAGGCGAGGACCCTCCGGCTGCGGATCCAGAGCCTTACCACCCTCTTTGATCGAGTCACTGCACGTAACCCCGACTGCGGTGATGTGTACGCGAGCGGGGTCGAGTCCGTCGTGAAAGACACCAGTGATCGGGCCGTCGCTCGCCTTGACCAGTGGAACGCACTTAAATGGTTCTTCCATGAAGTGTGGGGTGGGAGGTGCGAAGGTAATGGTTCTTCCTAGAGAGGTTTGAAGCTGTGCGCGGTTGGGGTTATCATTACGAGGTCAAAGAAAAGAAGGTTCAGGTGGGGCTCACCACCAAGCCGAACTCCCTAGCTCTAAGACAATATCTGCGCGTCCAAGCGGCTGTGATGGATTCTTGCTGGTCCAACGGAAAGTAGATCCAAACTTTCCGGCCCGTGCTGTCGCGCCAGTGCATCAGATCGAGGAACTCTTTGAAACGAGTCGGTGTGTCCGAGAATCCGTGGAGACCCACCATCCCGTGGTCGGTGCAACAGGCCAGAAGACCTTTGACGTTGGCGTCGAATGCAACGTAGTCCAACCGAGGGTTCTTGCGGAGGCTATGCGCGTTCCACGGCTGGAATGCCGGGAGTACTGGGGTGCTCCAACGCCACGTATCGGAGGATGAACCGTCGGAGACGAGTGCTATGTCCTGCACGAACAGCCCCTGGGTATGTCACATCAGTCGTGACGATAGCACGGAGCAGGGGTACCCCAGAAACTCATACATTACACTCCACTTTGATGTTCACGGCAGGGGCCCGCGGCCGGAGGACTTTATACCATGACGAGCCGTCGGATTCTGGCACCGAGTTCCTATCCACTAATTGGATCCCGCGCAAGCCGAACGCGTCTAGCAACAAGACAATCCTGTCCATCGCCGCGGGGATCCTGAGGCGATGCACGCGGGAAGCAGCCGTAGCTTCCAGCGGCGCGGTGCTGAGCTGGGTCACGTACGGAATGCCTCGGCAGTTGATACACCGCATCCATACACCGTGCTGGAGCGTGAGCTGCCTCGGCTGGGGTACCCGGCGTCTCCACTCCTCCAGTAATCGACGGCCCTCGCCCAGCACGGTCAGATACCAGCAGGGTGCTGTGTACTCCGCCACCGCAATTTTCAGCTCCATCGGGAGTCGCGCAAACAAGTCCAGTGTGGGTTCTGGCTGGGTCAATTTCTCTGTAGACGCTCTACGCAGCCCCTCCAAGGCTGACGCGATCTCTCCGCGTCTATCCCTGCGGACGTGATAGACGGGTTTAGTGGCACACATGTACTTCATCATTTCGGGCCGCGTAGGCCTTTCTGCTGGCTCGTAAGTGTCTGCCAAAGTGTCGTAGCATCGTTTGTGGGACCAAATCTGGGGATTTGGCGTGTACAAGCAGCTCTTGCACGAGACTGAACAATCTGGAGCAGTGCGCAGGATGTGATGTACATCTATGTGTTATATGAGTAGATAAGGAAAAAGAAAAAGAGCAAAACAGAGAGCAGGAGTACAGTCTAGGTGTGTACAGTACCAAGAAACTGCTCTCCGGCAGTTGGAGCTTGTCGACATAGCAAGCATGCGGTTCTTCCAAGGTGAATGTTGGTAGCAGAGTCTCTGAGTCCACGAAGACTCTGGGTCCGAGGATGATACTCCATCTGTGGACATGTAGCCATGGACCTTTAGTGCCGAGTCACGGTGACTGATAGTCGCAGTGGGAAATGTACAGAATTTTGATGGCATGAGAGCATGTATAAACAACAACGGAGTTAAGATCAACACAGAAGGCCGGCTTCCCGGACTTACGGTAGTCACGTGCCATAGCTTCGCAGGGGTCGGTGACTCACTCACCGCCTTCTACTGCCCTTGCAGAGTATATTCACTGCACTGTCGCAGAGCATCCTTTTGTGGATGTTGGTGACAGGAGCTGCAGTGAGATTTGTCAAAGGTAAGAGAATTCAGGCTTCTGGGGCTTGTCTATAGTGAAGTATGTGCGAGCATCAGTTGCAGACTAACAGGGAACAATCTATTCGCATGTACTGAGTCCAGGTCCCAGCAGCGAGTTCTAGATCATCTTGACAGACTACCAATTTCTATTCGGGGCCGATGTCGCAGCACACATGAGTCATCTGAGAGTTCCTCCTCCCTAGCAGTCAGAGTATGGATCCGGATCGATTGTTCAGTCTAGATGTGTAGTGTTAGAGGGTTTTGCAAAACTGGGCATGCCCGGATAACCAGTTCTAACGCACTAAACCTATTTCATTCCAGCTGGGCAGGACTTCAGGATAGGACATGCCCACTTCGTTCTGCACTTGTAGTTTGCCCTTGATATAAGATCAGGCCCAGAGTTAGCCATGAACACAAGCTAAGTGACTCATCGGCTCCTTCCCCGAACTGGATTGTGGTACGACCCGCCTGTCAATCTAGATCTAGACAAATACTTATTGTCTTCTTGTTTGCACCGTTCGCTGCTTCTTCCCTTACTACAACAGCCTCTCCACTCAACTCCTCCAGCATCATCGGATTTCCGATCGACCTGAATCATGCATAGGATTCGACATATTTCTCGGGCTCCCAATGCCCTCTCCAGGGCTTCTACAAAACATGCTGTCGCCAGCTACTTCGTTCCGATGCGAAATACACCCACAACCCGGGGCACAGCTTCTGCTGCGACGCAGTTGAAACAGAATGACGCGGTACTAGAGAGGCAGATCTTGCCAGCAGCAGGCATCCCTCGCCCGGCCATGGACGAATCGTGGGTGACTCTTGGATTGGCTCTTCCCCTTACTTACTACTTACACACAGCAGATTCATTGGAATGACCGGAGGCGAGATCTTCCACGAGATGATGCAGCGTCACCACGTCAAGCACATCTGTATGTGCATATGCCCCAAACCCACCTGACTAAAGCCCTTACTGACAATTCGGTCGACGACTGCAGTTGGATATCCGGGTGGAGCCATCCTGCCGGTCTTCGACGCCATCTACAACTCGAAAAAGGTCGATTTCGTCCTCTCAAAACACGAACAAGGTGCCGGACACATGGCCGAAGGATATGCCCGAGCGTCCGGGAAACCGGGGATCGTGCTGGTGACCTCGGGCCCGGGGGCCACGAACGTCGTGACTCCGATGCAGGACGCGCTTTGTGACGGCACGCCCATGATTGTCTTCTGCGGGCAGGTTGCAACCTCGTTGATCGGCAGTGATGGGTTCCAGGAGGCGGATATGCTGGGCATCTCGCGCTCGTGCACGAAATGGAACGTCATGGTGCGCCATGTCTCGGAACTGCCGCAGCGCATCAATGAGGCGTTTCAGATCGCGACAAGTGGGCGACCCGGTCCGGTGCTGGTTGATCTTCCCAAGGATGTCACGGCTGCGGTCCTAAGGAAGGCGATCCCGATCGCGTCGGCGCTGCCGTTTGTTCCTACTGTTGGTGACAGTGTCAAGGCGGTGCCCCAGAAATCAATCGCTCGGGTGGCCGAGTTGATCAACACTGCCAAAAGGCCCGTCATCTACGCGGGCCAAGGTGTGGTCAACTCGCCGGATGCTCCGCGATTGCTCAGAGAGCTGGCGGAAAAGTCCTCAATTCCGGTAACGACCACTCTGCAGGGTCTCGGTGGGTTCGATGAACTGGATGAGAAGTCCCTGCATATGGTGGGAATGCACGGATCCGGGTATGCGAACATGGCGATGCAGGAAGCGGATCTGATTATCGCGCTGGGAGCTCGATTCGACGATCGGGTCACTATGAATATCAAGAAGTTCGCCCCCGCGGCACGGGCGGCGGCGGCGGCGGGCGTCGGAGGGATCGTGCATTTCGACATCCTGCCGAAGAATATCAACAAGGTTGTCCAAGCGACCGAGGCGGTCGTGGGCGATGTTGCCGAGAGCCTTGCGGCTGTGCTTCCCCAAGTCAAACAGAAGGATATGACCCATCCCGATCGTCGGTCGTGGTTTGGGAAAATTATAGAGTGGAAGAAGCGCTGGCCGCTGACCGTGTACGATCGGTCGGATCGGTCGCATCTGATCCAACCTCAAGCAATGATCGAAGAACTCAGTCGATTGACTGCCGATCGCAAGCAGGAAACCATCATCACCACGGGGATTGGACAACATCAGATGTGGACGGCACAGCAGTTCCGCTGGCGGTATCCGCGCACGATGATCACTTCGGGCGGGCTGGGCACGATGGGCTTTGGCTTGCCCGCTGCTATCGGAGCGAAGGTGGCGAGGCCCGATGCATTGGTCATCGACATCGATGGCGATGCCTCGTTCGGAATGACTTTAACTGAATTGAGTACCGCTGCGCAATTCAATATTGGGGTGAAGGTGATTGTGCTCAACAATGAGGAACAAGGCATGGTGACTCAGTGGCAGAATCTCTTCTATGAAGATAGATATGCCCACACGCATATCCGAAATCCGGACTTCATGAAACTGGCCCAGGCAATGCACGTCCAGCAACGGCGTGCTACCAAGCCGGAGGAAGTGTCGGATGCCCTGAAATGGCTGATCGACACGGATGGTCCTGCTCTGCTGGAGGTTGTGACTGACAAAAAAGTCCCGGTGCTGCCGATGGTTCCTGCTGGATCGGGACTACATGAATTCATTGCATGGGATGCTGAAACGGACAAGAAGAGGAGAGCTTTGATGCGTGAACGGACTTGCGGTCTTCATGGGGCATGAATATGCATCGCTTGTAGTTAGTAACTTGATCAAAAGTAATACCGGTTTCGTTCCGCGATACTCATGTGGCATCTGACTCTACAATCTTAAGACCTTGCCAGACATATCGCAACCCATCGAGTGGTCTCCAGACATTCATCCACCGCTTATTCGTCATTAGAAGAAAGGGACACTCACCTGATCGTACGCCTGGTTCGCATCCACGAACTTCAAATCCGTGGCCAAACAAATCTTTCTATCTGGATCCTTATTCTTGCAACTCGCATGCACTAGGAATGGATCATGAAAGATGTCATCTCCAGCCTCATACTCCGTGATTAACCACTTCCGATCCTTCCAGTTGCCGTAGGCGACCGTATCGCGACTCAGAAAACCGCCATCGTTCATATTCTGACTGAACGCCGACACACGTTCCTCATCGGTCTCAATTCCCCGCATTGCGACCGAACTCGGCCTCCGTCCTCCGCCCAATATCCGTCGACTTCTCCAAGTACATCACCCCGCCAGCCTCCAGCGAGACATCCCCGATCGGCATCCACGCCGTCAGACTGATGGGCGGACCAGCGCGAAGATACATCTGATCAAAGTGTACGGGGTCAGCTCGCTGTCGCGGAGCATCGTGCGCTGCAGCATGGTGATGTCCCGCTAGCCGGTGAACTTCCGGATGAAGGCAGCCACCTGCTATTCGTCGAACAGTCCCTGTGGGCTGATGACCTTTCTTGCTGGCGGCAGTGATGTCTATAGCCACACAAGAAGGACCGGACCTAGGCGGGCGTCATGGCGGCATTTGGAGATACACGGAAAGACTCATCACACAGGTCGTGCTCGGAGCCAGTGCTGTTCGTTGTGTCGGCACTGTGGAAGGTCTTTGATTGCTAGCTGAATGGATGCCACGGGTAGCTTGGACGAAAATAGCGACTTGAAGTCCAAAAGGATAGAAGTAACAATATGGCGTGGAGCCTTGTCGGGCTGGCAGTCAGAAAGGCATACCTCCTGCATCTGGAGAACTACTCGTTGCGGGGAGAGGCCAAAATCGAGTCCGACACAAATTCTGGCCGCAAACGGTTGGCATGGATATGTAGAGCCCCCATCCGTATTCTTACGGCAAGAAGCCGATGATTCCATAGATACGTATCTCGCGGATCGCCAGATATTGATTTAAATGGGGCCAGCGTTTTGGTGTCGCGGCCCAGGTCTATCCTCCCGATTCCGCGGTGCACGATAACCCATCGTCCAACCGCAAAAAGCAGGTGGTATTGACTATGCTTCATCGTACAGGCCCAAGTGGAGCTGACCACTTTGGTGGGAAATATACATGATATACTCTTCGCTTCAAAGTCACGGACCACGCAACTGATGCTGGTGGGAGACTATAGCAGGTACCTCGACGACAGCTCGAAAGCCTTGGATATGTGGAAAGGTGCTTGGAATGTCTTGAAGTGCCCAATGAACCATTTGAATCCGACGAAGCATCTGAGATTCCTTCCCGTCCGATATTACCTGTATGATTTGCTTGCCAGCTTAGCGTCTCAGAACATGGGGTAGAGTGGCTGACTACATCAAGATATCCAATTCATACGTCGGTCTTCCTCTTCAAGGCCTTTTCTGTTGGTGCCTTTGGGAGCGGATGAGAGCCACGATTGCGCGATGCTTGCCAAGGAATTCATCGCCATGCTCCAGATGGCAGCCACAGGACCAAAACATATTCGCCTACAAGCATGGGACCTCGTTAGCTCATTTGTGGTTTCAGGATCGTAATACGGCGGACAACGTACATTGATTCTCGAGCGGATAATGCACCTTTCGACCGGGGGGCTCAGCCACCTGACTCCTCTCTTTTGGATCCGCTGCAAGAGCCTGTGACGCACCCATTGCTCTTATTCCCAGAGTTCCTGCAGATGACGGAGGAACAACATACTTCAGCAACTCAGGTTTGTTAGAAAACTCAGATGTTCTCTTCATCACCCTTCCGTTTCTTGGTGGAAGCTTGTCAAATTACGAAGGTATTACCGATGGCACCCGCGAGGCAGGATGATAAAGTGTTATTTGGAAGATGGGAATCAAGTCCCAACACTCTATCTTACCCATTGTGCTCGGACAGAATGCCGAGATGATCTTCGTATGCTAGCAGATTCGGATTATAGCAATAAGAGCAAGGTCGGATCTCGGCTCCCACCAATCGGCCTTTTTCTGTGATCAACCCGAGCCTTATTAGCCGAGGAAATGAAAGCCGACCGGGCGCTCTCATTTATAGCCGTCACAACGCAATATCTATCGTAGCTCTCTGACCACCTTCCAGAATAATAGTCTCTCAGCGTCAGCCTCCAAACTTTCACAAAGATCAGTCGAATGGACTCCACGCAAACATGCCATTGCAGCAGCCCGATACCTGGCACCCATCCTTGCCCCAATCTTGCGATCTGCCTCCTCAAGCACCATATTTGACCACCTCCGATGGTTGATACCAGCATATTGCTGGGATGACTGCATTACTTCCCGGTAAACTGGATGCGCCAAAGCGACAATTGGTTCCCAGAAAGCAATCTCTGTCAGGATCACACCCAGACCGTAAGTGTCGTGGGTCTTCTGGTTCCCGCGCTTCGCTTCCCCGTCGGCTACACAGTCAGGATGAGCATACATTGCCATATCTCCCAGGCCAATAGCACTTGTCTCTTGCAAGAAACTGTCCGGAACTTCACCCCCATCGCCCATAGCTTGCGTAGGATGGACATCCTGCCAGCCACAGATGTAAGGCTCAGTGACGTCATATCTTGCCCTCTCTGTATCAAAGAAGAACAGGATGTTATGGCTCGAGAGGCTTCCGTGAATCCATCCGGCGCAGTGCAGCTGGTACAAACTCAGCGCCAGCCTCTGGGCTAGACGGACACGGTCGCCAAGGTCCGGCACTGCGGGCGTCTGGGAGTTATAGGCGGTGGCCAGTATATCATGCAGAGTGATCGGTGCGGTCGCAAGCAGAGGCAGCCGGTACACGAAGCCTAACACCGGATGGGAGTCCCCATTTGGTAGTCGGCCGGTGGCAAGCGTGTATCCTCTGCATTCCAGGACACGGAATTCGCTGTCGACAACTGAGGTTTCGCGGAGAATCTCGACCAAGTGTTGTCGACGCTGTGCAACGCACTGGTCTGAGGTTGGAGGGTGACTGGATCCAGTCGTAGCCAGCTGGGAATGCCATTCCACGAGGACATAGCCCTCTTGCTCGTGGGGATCTCTAGGGGTGTAAAGATATACAGATCGCACGGGTGGAGCATCTAACACCTTTCCCTGCGACGAGGTGGAGTCATGTGTTTCAATGTCCGGAAGGGGCGGTTCCGTGAAGCCTTGGAGACAGGACACCGGGATCTCGAAAGTTGACAGTGCCTTCATAGCCGGAGGATGAGCTGCCAAGCCTTGGGCTTCATCCTCTTCTACCTCGTGTGCCGCGGATGTTGGCGCTTTTGCACTCCCTCCTAGATCATAGATCCTCAATTCGGTCAGTTGGCGCAGCCGAACCATCCCAGCAGCCAGACTATTCCGCACCCCGAAGGAATTCTCATCCGCTACCATCAACCTAGGCTCCGAGGCAAGGATCTCGCCCGCAAGACCCCTCGCCAAGAAGTCCGCTTCGTCTGCCGGCAATAGCCGCTCCAGCCCCGTATTCAACGTCACCAGGTCGGTCAGAAACTCACGGACCGTTGTGCGCTCGACCCAAGGCCCTGGCAAGGGCGCCTTATCGTCCATTACCCTGCGGATCTGCCTCACAACCTTTGCCCGCTGCACCGGATCAGCGAGCCTCTGATCAAGCGCACACTTTGCTTCTAGGACTCGAGCGTAAGGGGTTGCGAAATATCCATTCTCGAAGCGCGACAGTGTCTGTTGACGCACGGGCGGAGGTTTCTTGCGGATCTGCAGATGCCTGTCCAGCACCAGCAGCGTCTTTCCAAGCATGTCGAATGCCAGGCGCCGGACTTCGGGGATGGCGGATACTATGTTGTTGCTTGAGGGCAAGGGTGGGGATGACAGCAGACCGAACCCGCGGGTTCGGCCCCACAGGCGTAACCGCAGCAGCTCCACCCGGAAGCGGGCCTTCAGGCCTACGGTCGTGTCCCCTGTGATTAGTGCCTCGGTGACGCAGTCATATGCTAACAGGGTGGTGTGAACGATCGAGGAAAGAGAGGCAACGGTTACGGTGGGATTGTTGGGGTCCATGATGGTTCGCTTTTCGGAGCGGTTGGCATGATGTGCGTAGATGGGAAGTCAGTCACTGCTGGAGAGGGTATATAAGAGAAAAGCAAAGCGCATCAGCCAGCCACATAAGCATTTTTGGGCGCGTGAAAAGGGAGGGGGAGGGGGGCATCTGGTGTGCATGATCCCACGTCAGTGGCGCCTGGTGCGCTGCGGCTGGTGCCACCGCCCGGTCTAGCCCTATGCCTTGTGCCTGAGGCGTCAAGGGGTGTGTTCTCATATTGATGAAATCTGTGACAACCTTCGGAAATAATGGAGAAGTGATTTCAATTATCACGAGCAGCATATATCATTGGTTCAGTTCTGATGTTCATCACTAGTACAGGCTGCTTTGCTATCACTGGGTCTATACCCTGGAGAAGGTGGCATCACTCCGCGAGGATGAACATGACCAGGTGACCACGCAAGTGGTTTCTAGTCATCGATGGGCCATTGCTTGAAGGCTTTCTTGGGGGTTTCATTGCACTGGCCGAGTCACGTTGTGCGCACACCTCCGGCTGCGACATTATGCCCGAAGCATTGACTTCTGAAGCTTGTGTGACCATATTTGGAAGAAATCTATTATTATACATTTGAAGCGCTCATACATCTTTCTCAAACAACAATGACACCCATCTAAGCGTCGCTGGGACGGAAAACGACCTTCTCACCCGACACACCCTCCTTGTTCGTCTTCAAAGCCTCCTCGACCGCGCCAATGCCACCGGGGATCAGACGCACCCGGTTCGGCACAAACAGCCCCTTGGCGATCCAGCCATCCTCCCCACCGAGAGCCTTGACCATGGGCTCACTCAAATACCGCAGGGCGGGGGAGCTACCCAGCCCGAGAATCTGCTTGACGGCGACCTTGGGCTCCTTAGACTCACCCAGCGCGACCGCCTCCTGGTCAACCCCCTGCACGGTCACGACGGCCTGCGCCGCGCCCTGGGTAGCCTGAGCAATCTCGACGCCCAGCTTCTGCGTCTCCTTGATGGAGATGGCATCATACACATAGCTCAGCTTGACGCCCTCACCCGCAGCAGCCACGAAGTCCTGGGCGGTCGCGGTCTTCCGGTCGAGGACGACGTGCGCGCCCAGCCCCTTCAAGAACTCCTGATGCGCCGCGCTGGCGTTGGTGATGATGCGCTCGAAGCCGGACAGCCGCGCGAACTGGATCGCGTACTGGCCGACGCTGGAGGAGCCGCCCAGGATGGCGATTGCCTTGCCCTTGCCGGCCTCGGCGCCGCCTGCGGCCCAGGGCGCGGGGGCGATCGCATGGCCCGTCTTGTCGTAGAAGCCCGTGACGACGGCCACCGACGCCAGACTGATGCCCGCGGCCTGGTCGTCGGAGATGTTGCGCGGCGTGTGCGATACCAGCTCGGCCGGCATCACGCAGTACTGCTGGAAGGTCGAGGCCGGGTAGTTGCCGATGATGCCCTGGAAGAAGACGCGGTCGCCGACGCGGTGGCTCGAGACGTTGCTGCCTACCGCCACGACCTCGCCCGCGGCGTCGGAGCCCAGCACCGCCGGGTATGACTTCAGGAACACGTTGTAGTCCCGGATCTTCCAGTCGACCGGGTTCACGGCCGTCGCGGTGATCTTGATGGCGACCTGGTTGGCTTCAAGGGCCGGTAGGGAGCGGTCCTCGATGGTGTGTTGGGCGTGCGGGGCGGGCACCACGGCCGCTTTGTAGGTGGTTGGGAGGCTCATTTTGTGTGTGAGTGTGTGTGCGTATTAAGATAAGTGAGTGATTGGAGAGAAGGACGATTAAAGTGCTGACCAGATGACAGGGGTAGGTGCAGTCAAATACTAAAGGACTGTACATGCCGAGGTTGGAAAAAAAGTGAAGCTGGAGCTCTTCGATATGGTTCCACTCTTGATTTGTCATGAGGTCATCGCGCTTAGCAATTCGCCGCATAAATGACGTCGTTCCTGCTTTATACCCAGCCTTTCTGCATAACTGCTGATGACTCAGCAGCATTGCAATCAAATTCGGATCACTGCAATCGAATTGGGTGGGCATGAGGACTGACAGGCAACGAAATGTTTAGATCAGATTCGATGTTTTCAGGTCCCTGGTATGAGAACCTGCCGCTAAGAAATGCAGGATGCGCCAAGCTCTCCACTATCGGAATTGAGTCCCGGCCAAGTCTGCCTCTGCTAGCCTGTTCCAGCAATGGCTAGCACACGTTTGATTTTGAATTCCGATCCATCGTGCTTCAGCTGTACTATACATAGGTTCTTCGATCATGCCGACCTGTCTTTCTACACCTGGGTCCAGGCTATAGATCCAAAATACCCAGGGTCAGGGAAAGTTTGGGTCCTCGGACCGGAAGCTGCCAAGCTCTGAAGATGTTGACATGAGAGTTGACGAAAATAGGGAAAGATTTCAGTCAAGACGTTCAATAAAGGAACCTGAACCCTCCGTCGTTCGCTTTCGGAAGGTCGGTGTACTCTTGGATTGCCAAAGCGCAGACTTCTTGTGCCTTAGGCATCACGCCCACCCCCTATCATCACAACCCACTAAAATACCCAAAATGGAAGCCTGCGAATAGCCCGCCTTCATTCGGTGGTATAGGAAGACCTTGGGGACCTAAACTCGCTTGATCTAGGATCCTTAATGCACCAGCCGATGCTGCTGGCTTAGTTTCCCTTCTACTCCGCGCTTAAGAGCCTACAGCTCTCAGGATGCGGCGCTTAATCTGAGGACCAGATTGCGTATCACCCGGCCTGCTCGACGGCGCAGGCCCTGGCTCCGAGGCTCCAGGATGAACACCTGCCTGTCGTCAGCAGCTTTCAGGTCGCAGGATTCAGGCATTTGGCCGGTTGCCTCTGGCCGTCGGATAACGCGGTCTGCGTCGAGGTTGCTTGCTCATTTTACACGGACTTCCACCGGGGCGGAATACAAGAGCTCACGGACCGAGATGTCGAGTTGGCTCTCCACAAGGCAGTCAAGGCAATGTCGGAGCAGCAGAAGTATGGACAGCAACCTTGGTGCTGGGCCCAATATGTTGACTATGGCGCGTGATGGCTGCCGGGCAACCTGCTCGTGAGCTTCCCGGGCCATCACAGTGTATAGGGACGCATGGCTTTCGCAGTCCAGTGCTTCGTGTTTATTTATCACAAGTTCGTGCCGGACAGGCTGTTGTTTATTACTTTCTAAACTGCGGATATTGTACAGTTCAAATATCAAATATAGGCTCCTGTGTATGATTCATTTCTGGTTATTCGAGTCAGTTGTGTCATGTGACCATCGTGACCATTGACTCAATTCCGCTATAAACAGCTTGTCAGATCAAGTGGGCCTGTCAGACATGGCTGGTGGTTGGATGGTGAGACATGCACTAAAGACTAGCGTGAAAGCTCAACTCCTCATTGAATAGCGGTGCGGGGAAGATGAAAGACCCTGAATGACCCCGAAAGACCCTGCACAAGGACAAAACATCTCCCTCGCCCGTCCTAGTCAAAGCAGTCGAATCAGCCCCCACGCGAGCATGACGGGAGACTTCAAGGTCCTGATCGCCGGCGGGAGCCTGGTCGGCCTGACCCTGGCCGTCAGCCTGGAGCGCGCGGGGATCGACTACGAGCTCTTCGAGAAAGGGGACTTCGCTCCCCAGCTGGGCGCCTCCATAGGCTTCTACCCGCAATCTAATCAGCTGATGGATCAATTGGGCGTTTGGTCTGAGATTGAGAAAGTCGTGGTCCCCTTGCGGGTGCGATATCACTTCGACGAGGACGGATACTGCATGGAGACATCTATTGCGTTGCAGTATCTTCAGCAGTAGTGAGTTTATCGTACACTTGAAGCGAACCAAACCAATGCAGTTTCCATGAGTTGACTTTCTCTCTCTCGAAGCTTGAAATACCCGACTATCTTCATGGAACGCAGCGAGATGCTGCGGATCCTCAAAAGCCAGATCGCGGATCCCAGGAAGCTCCACAGACAGAGCCCCGTCGTTACGTACGACGAGACCCCTGAGGGTATTACAGTGACGACAGCCGATGGCCAGAGGTTCCAGGGAAGCATTCTGATTGGAGCCGATGGGATTCATAGCCGCGTCCGGCAGCTCATGGCCGATAAGATCCGTCCCACAGACGTTGCTCTGGCTGAAGGCATCGAGCAATGTACGTTGTCGTCATCTTTCATCCCCTCCGTGCATTCCATACACTAACCGCTGCCAATGGCGCAATGCAGCATTCACCAGTGAATACAAGTGCCTTTCGCGGTCTCGCGCAACGACCCCGCAGCCCCCTTCCTCCCCGACGGGACTGTCCACAACGTCTACCACCAGAACCACTCCGCAATAACCGCCACCGGCGTCCCGGGCCTAATCTTCTGGTTTCTCTTTGTCAAAGTCTCCAGCACGCGAACGCCCAATTGTCCGCGGTACACTGAAGCCGACGCGGACGCCTTGGCTCACGAATACGGCCATGTCGCCCCGGGACCAGGCTACACCATCCAGGACCTGTGGACCGCCCGCGTGAAGGGGTCTTTGGTCTCTCTGGAAGAAGGGATCGTCTCGCAGTGGAGTCACGGCCACGTCCTGCTGCTCGGTGATGCGGCACACAAGGTCACCCCCAACGCCGGCTTCGGCGGCAATCTCGCCCTTGAGGGCGTGGCGCATCTCACCCATGCCTTGGTCGCGTTACTGCAGGACTGCGGCCCCAGCACGGCCCCAGAAGCTGAGCAGCTTGGGGCCCTGTTTGCGGAATTCGACCGGAGCCACCGTCCGCGCGCGACGACGGTTGTGGGGTTGTCCGCGAAGATCACCCGGTACGAGGCCCAGGAGACGGGGTTCCTACGCTTCGCCGCCCGGTACTTGTCGCCTGTTATTCCGGACCGGTGGAAGGCTGCGCTACTTGCGCGCTTTGCGTCTAGAGCACCGAGGTTGACGTTTTTACCCGTCACAACGGCGGCGGCAGCGGCGGCAGTCGATGTTGGGAGAAGTATCCGCGAGCAAGAGAATGGAACGGGCAATGCGTGGCTGGCAATTGGGCTGGTCGGTGCGGCTGCCGCAGTGGTGGTTGCTAGACTTCGAATATAGAACTGCCGCCCTGTCATATTCCTTACATTGAAATTATTCAGTGGTGGTGAGAGCCTAGAACCTGGAGATAGGGTGTGGTTCAGACTGCCGATGTAGTACAGGTCTACCCCGCGAATCTGCCCTATCCCTTCCTGCTTTGGCACCATTTCACATGGCTTCAGAGGCCTTCAATTGAAGACCCCGACTCATATATCCACAAATTATACATTATAGTTATGCTATTGCTTGAAACACAACTTTTGACCTGGTCTATAGAAATCGAGCAGCATGCTTTTACTCTTAAAAAGGTCTTGGGTCAATCAATCATATCACTTTGGATCGGCCCCTTCCAAGCTGGCAGGGGCTCTCTCGGTGGACCCGCAAACTCAGAACATTCCGCCGGCGGTATGTCGTTCAGAATGGCTTCGATATCGAAGTACGATGGTCTGCGACGGCATTCCGGTGACGATACAGCTGGCGAGGTCATGTTGGAGGGTGACGTCATATGCGAGGGCGAGGTCAGGCTGGAGGGGGGCGTCCCCGTCAGGTAATACCGGTCGCCGCGACTCCCGTTGCGCGAGGGGAACCATTTCGGGGCGTAGTGGTGTAGGAATGCGCGCGTGAAAGGAAGGGAGCCGCAGAGGATGATGAAGTTTGCTTCGAGAACTCTGTTGATGGGTTGTCGCTTGTTAAAGGGGGTTCGGCATTACAGAAAAGGCAAGAAAAGAAATGGGCGGGGGAGGGGACACTGGGCAAGAGAACTCCTGTTCATGCGATTGAAAGCACCTACATAAAGAGACACACAAGCCCGATGTTATGGGGCTGATTATTCGAATCGAGAAGAGGAATGAGGGTGACCAGGCGAACGATACTGGTCACAACCGTACTGTTCAACTCAAAGCCCAAGGGCCATCCCAACCGGTCAGTTACCCGACCCTGATACTGGGGACCCGATCGCAGATAGTGAAACAAGAATCACGTACAGACATCCCAAACCAAGCAGGCAGAATAAACCCATCTTCTGCATAAACGGCAGGTTCAGGGCCCAGATAAAGACCATCGGAATGAGCAGCAAGATGCTGTCGCTGGCGGTGTTCGCGATTGCGGTGGCCAAGTAGAGGCCCGATCGTCGTCGACAGGCATTGGGTCTCGTGAGGGACCAGCCATCCTCGATCGGTACGCAGGCGAAGATAAGCATGAAGACTAGAATGATGCTGTAGAGTCCGATGCTACTACCCACTGCCCAGAGAGTGTACCGCCACGGCGTGATGAGCTTGAGGACTCGGTAGTAGAGCATCAGGACGGCGAATTTGGCAAACGCTAGCGCCTGGATGTGGATCACCGCCATGGCAAGAATTGTCTAATGTAATAGTTCTCTGCTTAATCCCGGTCGCACGTGATAGCAATGTATGTATGATTAATTACCTTTCGATAGTTGACGAGTTCTGAGACCGACAGGTCCCAGATATCTATTGCAAATCCTGCATGGAGGCAGCCATCTGAAGGCAGAGGGTTAGATGGGAGGCTGCATTTGCTGAAGCGGTATGTCCATACATAGAATGACCGCCTGGGTGCCGACGGAGAAGACCTATTGCTCTGGTGATTAAACACTTTGTTCTTTCCCTTATGTACTTATGTGCTTAAAACTGTTTGTACTTACCCAAGCCAGAAGAATGAATACTATGCTAAGAGTCAGTTTCATTGGCGTGGTTGGAAGGAGAAGTGAGTGAGTACACACCATCATCCCACCAGAACTTCCGCAGAATCCGTGCCTTGGTGTAGATTCGGATCATCAGGAAGACCGTGCTCAGCGCAAGGCCCACGGCGATCGCGATGCAGTTTGCTGTGAACAGCCATGGCCGAGGATTGGGATTCACTGTTTCGCCAGGTGGGGGTAGCACCGGTCCCGTCACAACCATCGTTTCTCGAAGCCACGACTAGAACGCAAAGTGCAAGCTTGCAACATCGGTCGCTGGATTGACATTATTGACATGCAAAGTGGAGATGCGAAGGAATGGCAGATGTCAGAAATTTCAACTGCCTCCACAGGATCTTGCGGGGGTAAAAAGGAGAGGGTAAGGAGTCGTTGCCGCTGACACCATCACTTCTCAAGGTTCCAGATCCCGACCTGAGCCATGGTTGCGGGCTATACGGAGGATGTACACCCGCATGCAGCTCCTCCCCTCATTCGAGGAAGAGTATTTGAAATTACTGAAATCTGGTAATTGGGATCTGGATTCCGATCGCCCCAAGTCCGAGCAAACCCGCATCAGAAACAGTCTGCGGGATTATGGCGAGCTCCAAGGTGAAATAGGGTTGATGAAGTTGGCAGCTCAAAAGTCACCTCGGCAGGAATGGATATTACTTCCGTCACAGACGCACCTCGAGTATTTCCAGTGGACTGACCTGCCGTCTTATATTTTCTGGATCTGAGCCCGTCATTCTATGGTTCATAGCAGGTGGATCAAATAACATCAACAACCTCCCATGATACATCGCTAAACCAAATAGAACCCTCAGTGAAGAGTAAGAGTCATTACCAAGCACGCACAGGACTAGATTAAAAGCAACCCCACCACCACTGAAGAAAGAAAATGTTCTTTCTCCATCACACGTATCCCCTATCGCCAGTGCCAATCCTCAAGGTGTCGACACAAATGGCCCTTCAATCTCGGCCACATAGACCTTGCTGCGATCCATAAACTTCTTCTCATCCTCCGCAACCCGGTCCCCCTGTTCAGCCAGCCGAGCCTGAAAGGCTCCCCAGTGCTGCATATCTTCGAAGATCATCTCCACGCACACATCCCATGGGAAATCGTCCGCTTGCCCCGCATACACCTTGGCGAGGTAGTTGGTGTTCGATGGATCGGTGGAGGCGGGATCCTGGGGGTTCCGGACGAGGTACCAGCGCTGGTGGAGGGTGGGGAAGGAGCTGCCGGCGATCTCCTTCGCCAGCGGCAGGTGGTGGTTTTCGTAGTAGTCTTTGAACTCCTGCGGGGTGACTTTCAAACTGCGTGAAAGGAATACAATTGCTTTCAACGTCATAATGGAGGTGGAGTAAATGTTTTCTTAGTGGTTGAGACGAGTGTATCTTGACCGGGGCTTGTGGGTGAGGATGGTGGCGCTGGTAAGGATGTTAATAATATTATTCATGCTGAGTTGAAGAACCTTCTCAGGTTATATAACCTCTCAATGAGTTAGAATCAGCAAGAAGAAACAACAAGAAATATCTTGTAGATGCTGGAAGGTTCGGTGATTCGAGCGAATAAGGGCTGGGAGATGCAACGGGAAGAAGCCTGTCAGCTTACATGGTCGTCTTTCTGTAGACTTGGCGGTTTAACCTTAATGTGCATCGATATAGACACACCCGACCGTTGCTTGAGCATCAGCCCCGCGGTCGGAATTTTTCTCCTATGTTCGGATTAGAGTGGAGGATCCGGGAATTGGTCAACAACTGGCTTGTCTTCAATGTCTCATCGTGTGCAACAGACTGAGCCACTAAACGCGATGCTCTGGGCTTATTTGCAGTTCGAGATGCATTATATGTGGTTCTGACCATATCAGACTACTCGGACTGAACCATATGTCGCTGTTCGACGTAGCAGGACAAACCTCATATTCCTAGCTAATAATGTATGACCGAATCTGTAGTCAATGATGAAGTTCGTCCATAAATCGTGGTTGTCTGTGGTAGGCATGTCTATACTGGAGCGCCAGCCAATGTCGATCTGAAACTCAAATCATCCGCTTTCCCACACCTTCAGCTCCCATCCTCTTCACCAAGCACAAGTCCTTGTGCGGAATACTGAATAATATAGTGAAGTGATTAATTATACCGACAAGACGATCAGGAGGCTATCTTATCATTGTACTGCATTGGATAGCCGAGACTGATCGCGTTTGCGCTAATCAGCCTAGGCCATCGATAGTCAGTTGAGTGCTACCACGATTAACTGACAACCGCAACACCCGACTGACTCGTTCTCGTGCGCTAAATAACAGACAAGCTAAGCGGGGAAGCTAAGCTGGAGCCGTCGCAAGCTAGAAAGAGTACTTACCAGGGAAAAGAAATTGCGGCGCAGTCAAGGCGCAGAACAACATCAGCACTAGAGGTGATGCCTGGGGCCCTGATTGGTCTATATCCGCCCCATCACCATCTTAGCCCTAGTTACGACAAAGACGATGCAGCTCGATCCAGGCTCCATGTTGCATCTCCTGGCCAGCTGATATCGCGTCCTTTCCGTCTACGGAAAATGAACAGTTTTATTCTAGAATCGTGCCCTGCAAGCGTGGGATTAGGCCATTGTCCGTCGTCTCGAATCCCCGCCGGAAAGGCTTACAGATTGTAGGTCTAGACCCACCGCTTGTCACGCATTGTCGCTAAGAACCGGCCGAAGGCGCCCCCGACAGGTACAGTACGTGGAGAGTTCCACCTTCACTCTGAAAGCAACACCCTCACTTACGGTCTTAGCTACCCATAACCCCTCAAAAAGTCACCATGGAAGCAAACGCCAACAATACCGGACATTCCACACCAACGTCCTCTTCGCGCGTCTCTTCCTTCCTCTCCCTCAAGAAATCCCAATCCTCAACCAATCCCCCGGCCTCAGCGCTAGCAACAACACTATCATCCGAGCAACCACCCCCGAGAACTCTCTTCTCCTCCGCCCAGGACGAAACCGCCGACCTCCTCAAGACCGTCCACCATGCGCGCACGCAACTCCGCGAGGTACAGCGCCTGTACCACCTCAAGGCCACATGGCTGGATGCCACCGAGACGCACTGGATCGAAGCCACGATGGCCGATCTGGACGATGCGGTGCGCGCGGCCGCGCTGCTGGTGGAGCCGGCCCGCGTGGAGCAGGAGACCCGGCGGCGTCGGGGGAGTATCGGCCTGGCGACGCAGCTGCGGTGGGTGTGTCGCGATAGCCGGCGGGCGCGGTTGCAGCGCAGTCGGCTACTGATGTGTCACCAGAGTTTGATGGTGGTGTTTGAGCGGTTGCGTGGGGTGCAGGTTCCCACTGGTGGTGCTGCATACCAGCAGGAGCAGGATGTGATGGAGTTGCCGGCTGGTGAGGTTGTGAGGCCGGAGGATGGAGGTGGCTCGGTGGGCGGAAGGGAAGAAGGCGCAGGAGGGGGTTTGTCGGGTGGATTGGAGGAAGAGATGTTGGATTTGCTACGGTGGAGGCAGTCTAAGGGGAATGCGGCTGCTGTTCGTCGAGCGGAGGAGGTTTTGGCTGATGCGGGTGTTTGAGAGTTTGATATATGGGGTATGGTTAACTGGGATGATATGGCTTGCGAGTGCATTATGATTGTGATTTGCTAGATACAGTTGGCTACAATGATCGTTCCGAATGTCAAATCTGCGCGGTCGCTTCCTCCACTACTTTCCGGGGCGTAGCGAGTCGCTGCCCCCGCTCATCGCTTACCTTGACTACTGCTGGTAGGGTTGCGATAGACCGCGACGGTGAATCCCAGACAAACTCGAAAGAGCACGGTTGAGCGAACAACCAGACGCCCAGGTCGGCGGCTTCCTTCACCACACTTCTTAAATGGCGTCGAACGTCCGGATCAGAGAACTGTGGGTTGTGGAACGCTGCGAACGTCCGTGAAAAATCCATTGCAAGAGCAGCGATGTTCCTCTGTGCAGCCGGGGACGAGGTATCGAGATACTCGGCATGCAGATGAGCTGTAAGCATACGCCACGCAAAAGCGGCATTGTCACTCGCTATCGCAGCTCCTGTGGAGAAACAAGCGATCTCCCCTTCATAGATATCTGGAAATGGCGGGTAGAGCAATCCACCGGGCTGAATAGCCTCTAATAATGTACGAGCAAGGACGTGGGTCAGTGCCGCTCGTCGGACGCGACGGTTTGTCAAGGTAGCGGCGAGCGGGCCAGAGATGAATGGAGAGTTATATCGGACCATCTCTTGAGTCTCTGCCGCGCGGGGCTGGGCGCCATCGCCACTATCGGGGGCGTAGTAGTTGTCCACGTGGAGGCTGATGTGGTCGAAGAGGGTTTGGATGCGAGAGCTCACAGTTTGATCGTCGGCAGGTGGTGGGATGAAGGGAGCCAAGTTCATAGACGAGCTTTGTTCCGCTCCCGCAGCGAAAGAAGCGGGAATCGGGCGAGTCTGGACAGTCGCTGGTGATTTTGCCAGTTCTACGCCCTGTCGATCAGGGCTCTGAAGATTACTCGCTCGTCGAGGAAGATCGCGTCTAGACCGGAAAAAGAGCCAAGCGGCGAGGAGGGAGATGATGGCGGTTCCAGCAATGGAGCCAACTACTGCACCTGCGAGAGCACCACTACTAACTCCATGGCCTGAGCTTGGATGGCTGGTAGCGGTTTGAGTATGCTGGGAGACCGAGGAAGAGGCAGTCTTGGCTGTTGTCACTGTTGGGGAAGCAGATGGTGAAGGTGTGGTTCCCAAGGGTGTGGTGGCAGAGGAGGTAGAACGAGAGGAGGTAGTACCAGAGGAGGTAATAGCAGAGGAGGTATAATATGAGCTTGAGATGGCTGAACTCGTGTAGTGCTCAGGCCAGGGGCTTGAAAGGGTAGACTGTGACTCTGCCGCGGATGTCTGCGCTTGACGAGGCCGCAGTGAATCCGCCATGGTGAATGGTGTGAGAAAGCCAGGTGACGGAGGGCTCAGCGAGCGCTAAAGTACTTTATCTCCCCATCAACATTGAAGGGAGTCAGTCGAACACAGCAGTCGGATGCAGGGATAAGTGGCAGACTAGCTAGGGTTGCGAGCCATGGTCGAGCAATAGCGTCGTCTAGTTCATTGAACGGACATTTTAGCTGCATTCAATAAAGCGGGGCAGCAAATTGCTCCACCTTCGAGCTCATTTTAATGAGTGGGAGTCAGCTCCCTTTTCTTGATGATAAGCTTATTAAACATATTTCCCCTCCCATCTCCAAAGAATGAGTGATATCGAGGCCCTTGGGCCCCCAAGGAAGGCCTCTGCCCACGAGGACGAGGAGTGGCGACCTGACATCGTGGTGGGGGTTGACTTCGGCATGACACACACTGGTAGGCCTCCAATCATTCCGACTCTCGCGGCTCAGAACGCTGATTAGCTCGGAATCCTGGTCGTTCAGGTGTGGCCTATTCGTATGGACCAGAATGGCCGCCTCCCAAAACCATTCAGCGATGGCCAGGCAAGCTGCCGGGAGAGCTGGCGAACAAAGTGCCTACATGCCTCACGTACAGCTTTGATCAAACAACCGTCAAGGCGTGGGGCTTTCAGTGTGAGTTAGACAACTCAGAAGAAGACTTGAAAGAGTTCTTTAAGCTTCATCTCTCGCCTCAGCATCCCCGAGATGGCGGCCCCAGCTTGGCCGAGGCCCAGCGATGGTTCCAAGACTATATTCGCTGCGTCTACCGGCACGTCGTGTCGTACTTTGACAACACCATTCCGCAGTTTGTCACGCAGCGTGTGGAGTTCCTCTTCAGCGTTCCGACCACGTGGAAGGATGTGCGCATGGTGGAAGAAACCCGCCGGCTGCTTGCTCAGATCATTGGCGTCCAGAATCCCAACCATCGCGCCTGCATTGGATTGACTGAAGCCGAGGCAGCGGCAGTCTACGCTGGAAATGAACACTATCGGGTCGGTTTCTATTCTTCCTCTTTACGGTTGTTGTGCTTGACTGAGAACCGCAGCAAGATGATACAATCATGGTCTGCGACTCGGGTGGCGGAACAACAGTATTACCTACCCCCTCTGCTTCAGGCGTGACGTTATTGCAGATCCGGCAGGCCAACACCATTTCTAGGATGTGAATGTCCTCAAGCTTCTTTCGGCACGGAGTGAGCCTACGCGACTTTCCCAGCTCGGCCACGTGGAAGGTGATTCGTTATGTAGCAATGGCATCCACCATAGCCGCTGGCTAATATTGCTCTAGGACATCCGATCGGCTCAGTGTTCATTGATAGAGAAATCCACCGTATCATATGCGACCGACTGGAAAGAATAAGTGATCATTTACGTTTATCCCCAAGTGCAACCGCTTGGAGAATGACCTTCGGACGGTTTCAGCGGTTCAAATGCGCCTTCGGCACCGAGGCCACAGCAGCTCCCTGGCTCAAACTTGATGTACCATCTCTGCAAACTGATGTGGACTTTCCAGAGGCGGACGTATATGATGGCCAGATGCAGATTGCTTGGTAATTGTGCCGGCCGAATGATGACGGCTATGGCGGCTGACCAGGCAGCAGGAAGGACATCCAGAAATGCTTTGACACGAAGGTTGACGGGATGTGTCGTCTGTTGGATGGACATATCCAACAGCTGCGCGGGCAGTATCCGAGCGACCAGATTGTAGGCTGGTTGGATGAATCGTGGATTGGACAAACAGACTAACGAATTGCATAGACGTATCTGATTCTGTCTGGTGGCCTGGGCAGCTCGCCGTATGTGCGGCAACGACTGCAGGAGAGGTATAGTGGGTCGGGCATGACACGCGGTCCCCTCAGTAGCACAATGCAAGTCCTCACAGCTGATGAGCCGTATGTCACCCTTGTATGCCATACCATCTGGCTTGTTGTTCACATGATCTTGCTTTTAGACAATTGGTCGTCGTCCACGGCTTGGTCATGGACAGAACCCAACAGCTCAAACGCGGCGTCGTCACCTTCGGCTCCCGCTGTGCGCCGGTCAGCTATGGGATCATCTGCAACAAGCTGTACAGCAAGGACTTCCACCTTGGGGAACGAGTCCAGATCGATCCCCGCGACAACCGGATGTATGTGCTTGACCAGATCGACTGGCTAGTGATACGGGTACGCAATCCAATCCGTCTCGCTTTCAATCGAATTCGTACCAGCTCACCAACTCTTCCCTCTATCCAAGGGCTATCCCATTGACTCGGCAGGAGTGACCAAAGAGTTTCATCTCAAAACAGACGTCGGGAGAGAGAACGAGCCCTGGAAAGTCCAGATCGTGATGTCTACCCGGATGCCCGGGGAGCTGCCCCGCAGTCTGCACCACGAGGGGGTGCAAACCGTGTGCAACTTGGACATCTTCACGGACAATGTGGACAAGAAGCTGAAGAACCGGCACTGGTACAATTCTAAGCCTGCGTTCTGGCGGACCTCGTTCGAGGTGAAGGTCGTTGTCGGGCCGGCAGACCTCACGTTCCAGCTCTGGTCAAAGGGAGAGCGGATTCGCAGCAAGCATGAGCCTATATCGGTGCATTGGATGCCAGCGGAAGATGTAGGGGTCTGAGCGATTGCAGAAGCCGTTCTGAGAACGTTGGTCCAGTCTGCAGTCGCTGCTAGATCGCGTTTGAAAGTGATTACGCATCTCTGTCGGATAGAGTTAATATGTAGAACCTCCACAGAATTTGATCGTCCAAAGGAAATGTCATCTTTAGCCCATGTCAGCAGCGAGTTTGCGGGGAAGCAGCATAAATAGTCAATGTTCCACCAATGATGCCGTGCATGTCTGAAAGGACCGTGCATATTCAGGCTATTTGAATGGGGTTCGGCTATGTCTACGCCGAGGAGCCGCGATCGGCATAGAGTACATGTCGAGATGGTTGCAGTCCGTCCCAGAAGCAACAAATCTGCCCTTCCGCACAATCGCTAACATCGTAACGTGATTTACGAATGTCGAGTATTGTGCAAGACAAAAAAATCATAATTTGACGAGTTTCAAGCTCCAGCTTGGCTCCGCTGATGGGCTGTCATCATTCGATCCCGCGCTTTTGCAACGTATATTAACCATGCTACTTATGCCTTCCTTTGCGCTCTTTGCGCTCCTATTACTTCTCGAGCCTGTCAGCGCACTCACAGAGACGACTAGGATTATCGACCGCCAAAATGTGATCCGCAGGTACAATCCCGTGCGCACGAACCTGTCGACCACCACACCAATGCAGGTCGGCAACGGGGACTTCGCTTTCGGAGCGGATATCACCGGTCTACAGACCTTGCTCCCATTCAACATCCTCTCGTCCTGGTGTTGGTGCAACGACTCGCTGCCCACCATCCCCGGGCAGACCGAGCCCTCCGACTTCACGGGCATGGACTGGTGGACGCACGACCGCCTGGTCAACTACGACATCTCGAATCCCGCGGAGGCGGCTATCTCGCAGTGGCTCATCGCCAATCCGCATCGGGTCAATCTGGGGCGGGTTGGGCTCTTGTACCAGGGGGCGAATATCTCGGTAGCAGATGTGACTAGAACGGTGCAGACCCTGGATTTATACAGCGGGGTTTTGGATTCAAGGTTTGAGCTGCATGGAACGGCTGTTTCGGTTCGGACAATTGCAGATCCCGTGTCTGATACTGTGGCTGTGGATGTGCAGTCATCTCTACTGGTAGATGGCTCCCTGAGCGTGTTCTTCGACTATCCTCTCACGACGGGGACGAACAAGTTCGAGGCTCCATTTGTGGGAAATTGGAGCTTGGTCGAGGAGCACACCACCCGCTTGAAGATAGAAACAGCACGAGAGGCGGTGGTCGAGCATACAGTGGGGGGCACGACTTACTATAATACCATCGCATCGGAGCAAGGAGGCGATATCCGCGGCCCGATCAACGAAACCCATCGCTACATCCTCCAGCCCACTAGCAAGGGAGCGAGATTCACTTTCACCACATCGTACACGCCGTCGATCCAGGCAGACAAGAGGTCATTTGCAACCGTCGAAGCGTGCTCGACGCAGTGGTGGGCGCAGTACTGGGAATCTGGCTCCTTCGTCGACCTGACGGGCTCCAACTCGTCAGATGCTGCAGAGCTACAGCGCCGCATTATCCTCTCGCAGTACCTACTCGCCGTAAACAGTGCGGGTCACGATCCACCGCAGGAATCAGGCCTGCAGAACAACGGCTGGTACGGCAAGTTCCACCTGGAGATGGTATTCTGGCACCTCGGGCACTGGGCTCGCTGGAACAAATGGGAGATCTTAAGCCGCAGTTTGGGGGTCTACGAACGGTTTCTGCCGTCGTCAATTGACCGCGCCAAGAAGCAGGGATACGAGGGCGCACGGTTGGGCAAGATGAGCGACCCGTCTGGTGCCTCTGCCCCGGGTCCACAGAATGCCCTGCTAATCTGGCAGCAACCCCATCCGATGTACTTTGCGGAGTTGGAATATCGAGCCTCGCCGACCTTAGAAACGTTACAAAAATGGGACACGATCCTCGACGAGCTAGCAACCTGGATGGTGTCGTACGCGTGGTGGAACACGACGACCCAGGTCTATGACCTCGGCCCGCCGATGTATCCATCCTCGGAGAATACCAGCCCCAACTCAACCTACAACCCGACCTTTGAGCTGGCATACTGGCGATTCGGACTGGGTATTGCCTCGGACTGGAAGAGGCGACAAGGTCACGAAGTCCCGGAGACCTGGACGCACGTGCGGCAGAATCTGGCATCGCTGCCCGTCGTGGACAATGCGTACTCGATCTGCGCCGATCTGCCGGATATGTGGTCGGAGAGCAGTTATACCTCGGACCATCCGAGCCAGATTGCAGTGTATGGGCTTCTACCACCGACGACTGATGTGAATGTTTCGGTCGTCAGTGCCACGATGGACCGCATCGCTCAGACATGGAACTTCTCCAAGTCGTACGGATGGGACTTTCCGATGTTGGCAATGACTGCCGTCCGGTTGGGAGACATTGACGAGGCGGTTTCGTATCTGCTGCACCCCAACTTCCAGTTTGATGATGTGGGCAACCCCGTGGGGACCGTGGTGCCCACGCCGTATTTCCCGGCTTCGTCGTCGTTGTTGCTCGCGGTGGCGATGATGGCCGGAGGGTGGGATGGAAACGAAGGAGCACATTTTCCGCGAAGATGGAAGATCAATGTGGAGGGTTTCATCCCTGGGATTTAGATCTTCATATGCCTCTTTGAGGTCTCGAAAGATATTCAAGCATTCACTACTAGAATGTTTAGGGGTGGCGGAGGATATTTCCCAAAAGTGGTAGGGCGGACCGGGCGCGGGCGGTCGAAGGGACGCGGCAGAAAGAACTGGCGTGTGACCGCCTTTTTGCTTGGTCTTCTCTGCCAACAACTTGGCAAGGCTGTACACAATCCTTTTCTTCGATGCAAAACATACTTTGTGGCGTGTTTTTCTGGAATGATTGAGCAAGCTCACCAGCAGATTGTCCAGGGGTAGGAGGCTAAGCTCTGCGTCAGCCATATTCCGAGCCTTTTAGGTCTGAGAGTTTGGTTTAACTTAACGCTCTCACACTATATAAGTATTCATTGCCTAGTCTACGTGACGATGAGAGGTCGGAATGACCTCATAAACAGTAGTAACTCTTGACGGTTCCAGTGTATGTCCTCTGAGTACTGAAATCAGAAGATTTAAGATAAGACACACTCAATAATTCGACCAACGTCATTAATCGTAACATCAGCAATGCCTTTGGCTGCTCTTCTCAGGTCAAACTTCATACCCCCGTCCAACGAAACCGCGTGCCAGCATTTCACTTCGCCCAGCTTCAGGGAATTCAAGCAGATATGCTAGTCAGTACACGAGGAGAAAAGGCAGAAGCATCATAATGAAGATCTTCATACGGGTGAAACCTCCATGAGACAGTCAATTGCTGTCTTTCATGAGGATCAGCGCCCCTGATGGATGCATCGTCTTGCCAGCGGTGCCAAGAAAATGATCTGTTCCACACCCATTACTTGCCAGAAGGGTAGACTCCGTCGGCAATTGGAAGTCTGCATCACACTGCATTATGGATACCTCGGCAAATCACTGCAGAATATTTTAGAAGTCTTAAGCCGCTGAAATCAATCGATTGCCTTGGACATCGGGCCTTTTCGAGTGGAGTAGATCAGACCATCATGGCAGACCGCCAGAGAGCGCAGATAATTTGTCCAGTAAGATTGCATGGAGATGAATTGATCCATTCAGCACAATTTCTGGACGAACAAAAGTATGGGAGACTGCCAGTCGTGGCGATTAGGTTTCTTGGACAACAGTGGATCCGGGGGAACGGTCGAGGTCGTTGGGATTACCAAGCACCCGGCCCAGTCGGGCGTTCCCAGCCCTAACCCACCCAAACCATTTCGCTCTTACCAAGCATTGCTGGCTAGACCGTGATCATGGCCAGGTACAGTACGGTGCTGCATGGTCGCCCATACACACTTGTCTGTTCGCTTGGCTTCTGTCGGCTGTGTTTGGCTGTATACTTGTCGCTGTTGTTGCCGACAACATTAACCTAACACCGTCCCAGGCTCCGTAAACCTCGTCATGCTAAGCCCTGTTGCCCGTTCGCAGAAGACTTTCCATGACCTTCGAACTGGAGTCTGTGCGTTTCACTACCTTGTGCTGTCTCATACGATGTACTCTGCTATCCATCCTTGCACCACCCACGGCTGCGTCGGTCGCAAGAATGGAGCGAGGAGAGTGGATCCTCTTCGCCCAAACAGGTTGTGATGCGCTGCCAGCGTCAAACAGTTTTGGGTTGATTATTGAACACGGAGTCTGGAATCGCCAGCTTAACTAAGATGTCTGATATGCCCACTCACGTCTATTTAAAGACGAATATAAAAGTGATTGCAAGGGAATCTACCTCGGAGTCATCCCCCCAGATTGAACAGACATTTTCCCTTGCAACATAATGCGCCATCTTTGGCTTCTGCCAGCTGTTGCTGGTCTAGCTGGGGCCCAATGCCCGTTTCTGTCCGGCGAGATGGGGACTCCCCCTCGTTTCACCGAGCGAGCAGATAACCCAACTGACACCATCGAGGTTGTCGAGCAGCCCATCGATCAGTCGCTCTACCTCAATGATACTGACAGCTATATGACCACCGACTTTGGCACCCCAATTTCGGACCAGTGGAGTCTGAAGGCTGGACACAGAGGACCAACCCTTCTTGAAGATTTCATCTTCCGCCAGAAACTGCAGCGCTTCGATCATGAGCGGGTGAGAGACGTGTACCTGTTTTGACCTCTTCCATGTCTAACCTTTTCGATGTTTCTTCCTTCATAGATTCCCGAACGAGTTGTGCACGCACGTGGTGCCGGCGCGTACGGTACCTTCCGATCGTATGGCGACTTCTCCAACATGACTGCTGCCGATTTCCTCAGTGCCGCCGACAAAGAGACCCCCATGTTCTGCCGCTTCTCGACGGTGGTCGGATTCCGAGGCAGTGTTGATACCGCGCGGGATGTTCACGGCCACGCTTGTCGGTTCTACACCGATGAGGGCAATTACGGTATGCCAGAGCAGTACACGTCAAATCGCAAACCTCTGAGACATAAACACTGATATAGACCATCATCATAGATATCGTCGGCGTCAACATCGCCCCCTTCTTCATCCAAGATGCGATCCAATTCCCCGACCTAGTTCACGCCATCAAGCCCATGCCGCACAACGAAATCCCGCAGGCGGCGACAGCTCACTCCTCGGCCTGGGACTTTTTCAGCCAGCAGAGCACGGCACTGCACAGCGCCCTGTGGCTGATGTCCGGCCACGGCATCCCGCGCTCGTACCGCCACATGAACGGCTACGGCGTGCACAGCTTCCGCTTCGTGACGGCCAACGGCACCAGCAAGGTGGTCCGGTACCGGTGGCGCTCGCTGCAGGGGGTGGCCAGTCTGGTGTGGGACGAAGCGCAAGCCACGGCCGGCAAGAACAGTGACTTCCACCGGCAGGATCTGCACGATGCCATCGAGAACGGCCGCTATCCCAGGTGGGAGGTATGTCTCCTTGCTTCGAGAGTGGGGTCCAACAATAACTAACAGACACAAAGCTGGGCGCCCAGATCATGGACGAATCCGACATGCTGCGCTTCGGCTTCGACCTGCTTGACCCGACCAAGTTCGTCCCCGAAGAACTTGTCCCCTTCACCCCGCTGGGCGTGATGGAGCTCAATGCCAACCCGACCAACTACTTTGCTGAGGTGGAACAAGTCGGCGTACGTCTCTTCCTTATCCCTTTTCCCCCTCCACCCCTGACCACCTCCCAACCCACCTCAACTAACACGAATATCCTCCGGCAGTTTCAACCCGGCCACATAATCCGCGGCATCGACTTTACCGAAGACCCTCTCCTCCAAGGCCGACTCTTCTCCTACCTAGACACGCAAATAAACCGCCACGGGGGCCCGAACTTCGAGCAACTGCCCGTGAACCGGCCGCGCAAGCCCGTCCACAACAACAACCGCGACGGCTTCGGCCAGCAGCAGATCCCCACCAACAACTGGGCCTACACGCCCAACACGATGGGCGCCCAGACTGCCCCGCGCCAGGCGAACCAAACCACCGGTCACGGGTTCTTCACTGCCCCCTACCGCTTCGCAAGCGGCCATCTCGTGCGCGAGCCCAGCCCCACCTTCGCCGATCACTGGTCCCAGCCGGCCCTGTTCTGGAATTCGTTGGTGCCTGCGGAGCAGCAGATGGTGGTGAATGCGATTGTGTTTGAGAATTCCAAGGTGACGAGTGTGCATGTGCGGCGGAATGTGGTCGCGCAGTTGAATCGCGTGGACCATGGGTTGGCGACGCGGGTGGCCAGGGGGTTGGGGTTGGAGGTGCCGGACCCTGAGGGCAGGTACTATACCTCGAATACGACGGTGAATGTTGGGACATTTGGGCAGCGGTTGCTCAGTGTTGAGGGCCTATCGGTTGGGGTTTTGGCGTCGACTAAGGATGAGGGGTCGCTGAGCCTTGGGGCGGAGTTGGCTAGGGTGCTGGCGGTGCATGGGGTTGATGTTGAGGTTGTCGCGGAGGTATGGGCCGAGGGTGTGAATACGACGTATGCGCTCTCCGATGCTTCCGGGTTCGATGCGGTGGTTGTGGCGGATGGGGTGGAGAGGTTGTTCACGACGGGCAATGCGACGACGATGTATCCTCCCGGTCGGCCGGCGCAGATCCTGGCTGATGCGTTCCGGTATGGCAAGCCCATTGGAGCAGTGGGGAGTGGGAAGCGGGCCTTGAAGGGGGCGGGCATTGAGGTTGGGAGGGATGGGGTGTATGTCGCTGGGAATGCGACGGGGTTGGCGGCGGAGGTGTTGGAGGGATTGTATACTTTCAGGTTCTTGGATCGGTTTGCATTGGATGAGGACTGAGGTCAGCTGTTAGAAGAGACTTAAGATACAGGGACACGACGAGTTGGTATTGATATACGAGGAGCAACTTGGATTTGAAATTGTCCATGGGTGGGTTGTTGTAATTAGAAATGAACGGGAAGGCAGTATTGAGACGCTATCGATATTATAACTAGATAAGAACTGTTCAGAATATTCACTCGAATTAAACCCAAGAAGAACACGATGCAATCAGACCACCCCAAAACATCTTACCATCAATCTCAAATACACGCAAGCACCTAAGTATACTTCAACCGAGCCTCAGTCCACTCAGGCTGGTATCCCAGCTTCGCACCGTTCATATCGAAGCTCGTGCCCGACCCAGCGTCGAACCCACTCGCGTAGGCACCATAGGTGACTAGCTCAATATTCTCCAAGGCGGCACCCGCATCAGTCTGAGCCCACACGCTCAGACCAATAGTATTCTTGTCCCGGTTGTTGATGATGCCCGGGGGGACCGGGAACGTGGTTTGGGGTCCCAGGTACGGGACGTACTTGCCGTACTGGTAGCCGTTGATGAACAGCTGGATGCGGACGGGGTTGACGGTGGATGGGGAGGTGAAGCGGATGCCAAGGGGGACGTCATAGCTCTTAGGCAGGTTGAGGGTGAAGGTGGTCAGGTAGAATGCGACGCCTAATTTAGAGGTTAGTTTGCTTCTCCGATCTTTCACCGTACACAGAACAGAGGTAAAACTTACCGGATTTGTTCAGTCCATCGAGAGGGGATCCCGAAGTCCAGCCATCCGATGACTTGGCCTTGTAGCCCGGAAGATGCCAGCCCTGACGTTCGGCCAGTAGTCCGCCTTCGTTCATTGGGGCACGAACGGGATCCAGCTCATAAGCTCCTAGCGTCTTATTAGATTCGGTATATACTTGTTAAAGTGATGCACGAAAGAACTCACCGGCAGCTCCTCCAGCATTGCCCTGGATCTTCCAGCTGGTGAAATTTCCGCCAGTCAGTGTCGCAGCGAGAAGGCCGCGGGGGTTTTCCACGCCCTTGGCAGTGGAGGTTTCATCGTGGCCGGTATAGTCGATCTACGGTAAGATGGTCAGCATAGAATCTACAAGAAAGCTAAGCGGGCAATTGACATACCACCACAGTGAGAAGATTGTCCGTGTCCTTGAGCGTCTGGTTGCTAAAGTCCAAAGTCGCGGTTGATGAAGTGGCGGAAGCATCACCCGGCAGGGTAGCGACCAAGTCACCATTCAGCCAAACATTCCAACCAAAGCCCACACCTCCTTGTGCGGTGAGACTGGCGCCAGTAATATTTGCGCCATCAAAGCGTCCGCGGTAGATTTTAATACCGGTGTAGTAGCCATAATCAGACGCGTAGAGAACCGGCAGAGTGGAGGGCTGTACGGGGCTCAGCGTTGTAGTCTTGTTACACACAGTCCAGTTCGAGTCATCATAGTCGGATTCAAGCTCAGGCAGCGAGTCTTTGACCTTCCAGCCACTGAGAGCGGGCAGTGAGATCGTGCTGGACGCCCCGTCAATGGACCCGACCAGACTGCCATAGGCGGTTTTGGTTACGGCAATGTGCTTGCCATTCCATTTCACAGTGTTCACCGATGAGCCAGCAAAGACCTCAATGGTAGTAGTGTTGTCATTGTCGCCAATGAGATTAACAACACTTCCATCGACGGAGGCGTTGCGGACCAGGTAGGGCCCAATGACAAAGATGTGTTGGTCAGCAGTCACGTAAGGATCGTTCGTGGTCGGCGGTGCCCAGAATCGGAATGCTGTATCGGTGTCCAGAAGGTAGAAGATCGTCTTGTTTGAAAATTGAACGACACTGGTACCACTGGCCTGGGTGTAGGTGTACGAGGGCGTGGTTGAATTTCCGGAGCTCTGAGTCAGGTTGACGGATGGCCCGTACTCTGTGAAGTTGAGGCGTCCGGAGTTCTTGAAGGCAAAGGACGCAGTTTGACCGACCCGAGAGTATAGCACCACCACATCGGTGTCACCAAAGGTTCCGTAGGTGGCGATATCTGTTGACACGTACAAGATGGTACTATGACCCAGCGGGTAGTCTGTGGAGATGATCTTGCTTTGTCGTCCATCGAGGTTGATGTCGGTCAATGTGACATTGCCTGCGGAGGTTGTCACGTCCAGGTCAAAGGTCAGGGAACTGCGTGAAGAGGTTGTCGCTTGCTGCACAACGTAGAACCCGGCATCGGATTGCGAGTCCCGAAGCACCCAGGTATACGCAGATGTGCTGGATGTGTAGCCTGTTCCGTTGCCCTCCATGTCTGCGGTAAGCAGTCCAGTCGACACTCTGGTGTATAGGCCAATAAGCTTGGTTTGGCTCATCTTGTCCCGGACCACTCTGCTCTCACTCAACGGAGCGCTGTAGTCATCTATATCTGGTCAGTATTGCTGCCCCTTTCCACAGGTACAGATTAACTCACATGATGTGTAGACAACTGGGGCTGCTAGATGACCCCAGTTCGTACCGCCATAGGTCATGTAGATGCTCTGAAGCGTTATCTTCTGGCCGATGTTGTTCTTGTAGTACACATCCGCAAACTGCGGGCTAAGCTCGCTCGTGCAGGTGTCATAAAAGGAGGATGCTCCCCAGGCAGAGAACCACCCTCCTTCAAACTCGGGGATGTAACTGGGCTGGGTGTAACTGTAGTTCTGGAACCATTGGTAGTAGGTGCGGACGACATTGAAGCCGGTGGCTTCGTTGGTGCAGCTGAGCCCACCAGGATAGGAGTCCAGGCCGTAGACGTTCACTGCACCGCCAACGTCTTCGTAGTCCGTGGACCAACTCTCGGAGCGCATTCCCTTTTCGTTGTGGGTGAAGGGGACATCGACACCAGCTGCCCGAAAGGCATCCTCCAACTTAATCATATACTGGACTAAAGTGTTACTGGCGCTGTGGGTCGTTTCCTGCAGCTCGTTTTCAATCTGGTTGAGAATGACCGGTCCGCCATTGGTGATGGAGTTGGCTGCAATGATCTTGCCAATCTCTTCCACCCATGGTTGCCAGGCCGCGGTGTACGTGGCGTCGCCCGTGCGCAATGAGCCTCCGCTGCCATCACTCAAGTGGAGAGCTAGACCGCCTCCATTGATCTCAGCATTGTCATAGGGCCCTGGCCTGCATCGTGAATTAGCTTAGTACCAGTGACATCTAGTCAGCAAGGCTTACCGGGCAATGAGATAAATTCCAGCCTCCTGGGCATAATCGAACAGACGCTGCAGATTGTGAGCGCCAGTCTCGAAATCGAAGGTTCCATTGACGGGCGAGTGGAAGTTCCAGAAAAGATAGACACTACATCGTCATCAGTCTCGATATCGAATGGTCAATAAGATCGAATCAAGGGCGTGATTCTAGAGGCATTTGTGTCCACACACCTGGCTGCGTTGAACCCATTGGCACGCATCTTCTGAAAGACGTCAAGCCATAGTTCGGGCACAGGAAGTCTCGGATAGGCAAATTCGCCCGAGAAAACGAAGAGTCGGTTGCCATTGACGGACAAACTATACGGATCCCAGGACACCAGGTCTGTAAGACCGTCGGTAGTTGCCCGAGACCCGGAAAGTAGACTCGCCCCAAGCAGCAAGGACGACCAAAGCTTCATAGTGGGTATATGCCAGAGCTGTCAGTTACTGAGGAAATCTCGCTCAGCAACCGTGCACTCGGCCTTAAGTATCTATAGCCATCGTCACTTCCCTTGAGCTCCGGTGTCATGGTGGATTCTGACGGTATTGCCGAGAGCAAGGGCAATTTCCTCCGTTTGGTGGGCTCATCCTGGTGTTCAGGCTATAGACTTCATGCAGGCTTTAGCGTTGGAATTTGGGATAAGCGATTGGTGCAGACTTGGAATAATCAAAATTAGATTAAGCAACGAGCGGGGAAATGAGGGGTTCACGGAGAAATACACACCGAGAACTTATGCAGGGGGTACGTGGGCTGATATTACGTGCATTAGTCAGGGGGACTCAGGGGTAAATCACACAGATATACTGGGGTAATGCCGAGGAAGAATGACGGGAATTGATGCTGATGGCTGAGGGAGAGGAAGAGAGAAATCAGTAGTGATAACAACATACGAACAGGAGGTGAGGTGCTGGATGCCTGAGGCCGGAAGGCTATCAAGTCTGAGCTCCGGCGGAGGGTCACATGACACGTTGATTCCTTCTCCGCATTCTCCGCCACTCTCACTACAACAACCTTACCACAGTACACAAAAGTCGATGAAACTCGCACAACTCTGGAAAGGTGGAAGAAAGCACCTTCCTACTCTAAATATCCGAAGAGATATCTGAAACTTGTTTTAAATATCCGAAGATTGCTTAAATTATCCGAGGGTCGTTCTAAATATCCGGCGGCCTAGACTTACTCCAGCGGTTCGTTGGGAAGATAGATGGACATCGAGTCCTCCCACTTACTCTCCGTCAGCACCCTTTTGTTTGAACCATCCTTATCCATCATCATAATCCGTCCGTACGGCTGAAAAGTGTTGTCGTACGTCACAGCTTCATCTTGGAACCCAAACATGCCGCTCGAGTACAGAATACGTCTGTCAGCTGTCCACACCGCATGAGCATCATTAGCCTTGCTAGTTGTGAGGACCTGCAGATATATCCCATCAGGACGGATTGTGCAGACATCAAAATTTACCTTTCAAGTCCTACGCGTGAAGACTATGAACTCTCCGTGGGTGGGAACTCGGGAAGATTGTCCCATCCACTACTGATCTGATATTCTGTGATGAAGTGAAGAACGACATCCACGTCCAGGTCGAAGTCGCTATTTATGTCTCGGGGACAAGATATTCGCAGCCCGGGAGATTACCATCGTCATACGCTCATGCCAGCTGTGCTTGCATATCATTGCCTTTGCAACCAGATCTCCACATTTGACAGGAAGCGAGAGGTCCGCTTACCCGCATTCCCTGCCCAACTCACGAAACCTGTTTGATCTGCGAGTGAAGCTATTGGATGGCGCACGGGATCCAGACGGGAGGACCTT